CTTTAAAACCCCTTGAATCCTCCAAGGCTCTGAGCCTACGAACACCAAAACCCCAAGAGCCGGTAAGCTCTACAGCCCACCCTAAACTCAACCCCCTTACACTCGGGGGTTTAGGGTTTAGGGGTTCACCGTGTAGGGTTTAGGGTTTAGGGCTTAGGGCTTAGGGCTTAGGGCTTAGGGCTTAGGGCTCAGGGCTCAGCGCTTAGGGCTTAGGCTAAGCCCTAAGCCCTGAGCCCTAAGCCCTAAGCCCTAAACCCTGAACCCTAAACCAGGAATCTAAACCGCTTAGGGCTTAGGGCTTAGGGTTTAGCGTCTGGGTTCTTCAGGCCATCCGCTTTGTGGGCTTAAGCACGGCCAGACACCCAGGAAGGGGGGAGGCGCGCAGGTGCTGCGGTCGCCATCGAGGGCTGCCCATTTACCTTCAAGTAGGTGTAGGTGGGTTTAGGGTTTTAGGGTTTAGGGTTTAGGGTTTAGGGTTTAGGATTTAGGGTTTAGGGTTTAGGGGTTCAAGAGATGAAATCGGTGTGGGGTGCTTAGTAGCCCAATTAGAAGTCTACTTATACCGAATTGTAAAACACTGCTCAGGGGCTTGTGAGTCGCTTTTGGCTACACTCAGAATCGGGTTAGTACCCGAACCTCCAATCCCTACCCCTAAACCCTAAACCCTAAACCCTAAACCCTAAACCCTAAACCCTAAACCCTAAACCCTAAACCCTAAACCCTTTCAACGGAAAGGGGAAGTTGACGGAGATATCCCTCCTAAGGAGGCTGGAGGAACAAGGTGACCCCCGAATCGCCCCTCTGCGCTCTAAATTCTTTTAGGACTCTGGGCCCTGGAAATAGGGGGAAGTTTCGGGTTTAGGGTTTGGGGTGTAGGGTTTAGGGCTTAGGGCCTGGGAAGTTTCGTGTGGGTTTAGGGTGCAGGGTTTAGGTTTTAGGGTTTAGGGTCTGGGAAGTTTCGTGTTTAGGGCTTGGGGCCGTGAGAGGCTGGCTTGACGGAGGTCAGTAGACAGACACACCTTGTTTTCCCAAAGGATCCATGTACCGATATAGTATATACTTGGGCCTTAAAGGGGTTCCTATATAGTAGCTTTAGGGACCAAGAATATACTATATAGGTACATGGATCCTCTGGGTTTGTTATCGGGTTTAGGGTTTAGAGTTGGAGGGTTTGAGTTTTAGGGAGCTGACGCTCTAAGCCCCACACCCCAAACAACACTTGGAGCACCCTCTGGGACGCAGAAGACGCACGAAACCCGGCATTAGACCAGCAGCTGGCTTTTGTCCAGGGTTTAGGGTTCAGGCTTCAGGGTTTGGTGTTTGGGCACCCTTAAGCAGGTGTAGAGCATTGATTGGGTGCGCAGGTCCGCCTTGTGCAAAGGTCCGAAAGGGTTGCTCCAATTACAAAACCCTAAACCCTAAGCCCTTAACCCTAAACGCCCAGGGTCCGTCTGCTGAGGCTCTGGCCAACGCGCATGACATCGCAGACTGGCTTGGCATTGGCATCGCCACGTGGATTCAACGGTGGGAACTACCGAAGGGTTTTGGGTTTAGGGTTTGGGGTTTAGGATTAAGGTTTAGGGTTTAGGGTTCTCGAAAAAGAAAGAAGCGTTTACCTGAAATCCTGGAAGACAAACAGCTAAGAGCCTGGGCATTTTTCCGTTAAGCCTCTGCGCATCCCCTGAAAGGAAACATCTGAGTGATCCTCAAACCCTAAACCCTAATCTGAGTGATCCTCAAACCCTAAACCCTAAACCCTAAACCCTAAACCCTGAACCCTAAGCCCTAAACCCTAAAACATCACTTCAAGGGGCTGAGTCTGCGACACTGGGGGTTCCATCTCGAAAGTGCTAGATGGGAAGAACGGTCGTGTTCCATGATGGCTCTTACTTGTAGAAGGATTCGGGTGTCTGGGTAGGGACCTGTGTTCGGGGTTCAGGGTGTAGGTTGCGTTTGCATGTGTTTTGCTAAGGTTCAGTGAGGACTCTTTACAGCTTAGACGTTCAAGACACGGCTGACTCCCTACTTACAAGCCTGCTTTCAAGCCCTACAGCTTCCCTCCTCCCCTCCACCACTTGAGCCCCCCCCCCCCAGCCAAGCCCCCAAGCCCCAAACCCTGAACCCTTAATCCCGAAGGCCCCAAGCCGGAAGCCTTGAGATCTATAAACCCCACAGCCCTGTAAACCCTCAAGCCGAAACCCAAAACCCTGGCCGCAAAATGTTGCTGAGGTTGGCCTTTACAACTTCAAGCCGTCCGTGAGGCCAGTTGATGACTTGAGGGTTTCTAGGGTTTCTAGGGTTTAGGGTGCATCTGTCTTGTAGGGTTTAGGCTGTGTAGGGTTTTTGCTACAGGGTTTAGGGTTCACGGGTTAAGGTTTAGGGTTTATTTAGGGTTTACGGCTTGCAGCAGTTGTTGGGTTTCTGTTTGGTCTTGATGGTGTATAAGCCCTAAACCCTAAACCCTAAACCCTAAATGTACAGAGTGTGGTTTAGGGTTTTTCGTTTTTTGGGACTGGGATTTAGTGCGCTGTGAGGCCTGTGCCGATGACGGCACACATTCAGGGCTACCCGGAGAAGCACTTTGTGGGCACCCGAGTTTAGGGTTTGGGGTTTAGGGTTAAGGGTTTAGGGTCTGGGGTTTCGGGTTTAGGGTTTACGGTTGAGGGTTGAGGGTTGAGGGTTTAGAGCCACGGTACAGGGGATGCCTTTGGACACCAAGCGCATCTTGACATGTACTTATAGGGGTCGGAATAGTTCCGGTCCCTTATGGTCCCTATATTGATGCTATAATACCCCGCCCGAAGCCCTGCGCTCGAGGGATGAGACCCTAAGGCTCCATGCACCTCACTATTATATACTTGGGCCCCAAAGTCCCTGTAGAGGAGGTTTTTTGAGGCCCAAGCATTCCATATTTAGGTACATGGCCCCTGAGGGAGATTTCCATTTTTGGGGAGCTTCAGCAGCAATCTCAAATTGAAAGGTAAGGTTTGCATGGGGCTTAGGGCTTCAGGGCTTTGGTTTAGGGATGTTTCGGGTTCAGGGTTTACGGTTTAGGGTGTATGGAGTTTTGCTCACGTCGCACCATGGGCCGAGTGGGCCTCTAAGCACATATATGGCCCTTAACCCCTACGAAGCCTAAAGACTGACTGGACATGGCCCCGGGTGCTTAAACCCGAGACCCTGTAAACCTCCTTCCCTCACCCGGTTCGGGACTATGTCTCAACATTCCTGAACCCCAAGTGAAAGATCCTGATTTTGAGGAAGCTTAAATCCGCGCAGTCCGTCGCATCCTCAAAGCGGTTCCTTTATACCCTACAACCTTGAAACCCCCAAAGCACTAAACCCAAAAGGGTTGTTTCGGAGATTTAGGAGCTTCAGGAGATTTAGGAGGTTTAACCAGAAACCCTAAACTCTAAACCCTAAAAGGTTCAGGAGTGTTAAGAGGTTTAGGGTTAGGGGGGGCGATGCTGAGGTCGCGCGCATGGCTCAGATGAACAAGCCATGCTTCCATGCCATCAAGAACCACGCCGTGAAGCCGGCGCGGACCCTGCCCGGTTCTAGGGTTTTCTAGGGTTTTTCTAGGGTTTTCTAGGGTTCTGTAGGGTTTTCTAAGGTTTGCTAGGGTTTGCTAGGGTTTCTAGGGTTTTCTAGGGTTTTCTAGCATTTTCTAGGGTTTTCTAGGGTTTTCTAGAGTTTTCTAGGGTTGTCTAGGGTTTTCTAGGGTTTTCTAGGGTTTTTCGAGGGTTTTCTAGGGTTTTCTAGGGTTTTCTAGGGTTTTCTAGGGTTTTCTCGGTTTCCTAGCGTTTTCGAGGGTTTTCTAGGGTTTTCTAGGGTTTTCTAGGGTTTTCTAGGGTTTTCTAGGTTTTCCAGGGTTTTCTAGGGTTTAGGGTTTTAGGGTTTTAGGGTTTTAGGGTTTTAGGGTTTTAGGGTTTTAGGGTTTTAGGGTTTTAGGGTTTTCTAGGGTTGAGTGTTTTAGGGTTTTAGGGTTTAGGGTTTTAGGGTTTTAGGGTTTTAGGGTTTCAGGCTTTCAGGGTTTCAGGGTTTCAGGGTTTTAGGGTTTTAGGGTTTTAGGGTTTTAGGGTTTTAGGGTTTTAGGGTTTTAGGGTTTTAGGGTTTTAGGGTTTTAGGGTTTTAGGGTTTTAGGGTTTTAGCGTGCCCAGCTCAACCCCATAGGAGTCCTAAGCCCCAACCTCTAAGTATCCTCATCCCCGATCCTTCGAAAATCCCTCGACCCCAACACCCTCAAGAGGAAAGTCCCAAATCTTCACGACCTCAAGCCCGAAACCCCGTACAAGGTGCTTGGCAAACCTGCGCTAAGTATCGGGTTGAAGGTTTCCAGTTTAGGGTTGAAGGTTTAGGGTTTAGGGTTTAGGGTTTAGGGTTTTTGAAGGTTTAGAGTTCAGGCTCAAGCTAGCAAAGAGGCCTCAAACCTCTTAACCTACAGAATGCAGACCCCTGCGGCACTGCCATAATTTCTGAAGCTCAAGGAAGGAGTCCTCCCGCAGGACCTGGGACTATCTCATATTCGTGTAGGGTTTAGGGTTTAGGGTTTAGGGTTTAGGGTTTAGGGTTTAGGGTTTAGGGTTTAGGGTTTAGGGTTTAGGGTTTAGGGTTTAGGGTTTTTAGGGTTTAGGGTTTAGGGTTTAGGGTTTAGGGTTTAGGGTTTAGGGTTTAGGGTTTAGGGTTTAGGGTGTAGGGTGTAGGGTGTAGGGTGTAGGGTGTAGGGTGTAGGGTGTAGGGTGTAGGGTGTAGGGTGTAGGGTAGGGTTTTAAATTTCGGGCTTAGGATTGTTCCCCTAGCTGTATTTCAGAGGATCTTAAGAATGACACATATTGCAGAGAGTTTTAAGGGCCAACCCAGTCAATACTCCCTAAGGAGCAATCGCCTTCCCCGAAAATGTAAACTGCCCTGCCTCCTTACCCCCCCAATAGTAAATTTGCTTGTTGTTGCTTGTTATAGAATTGTGTGGCATCCTTCCTACTAGGGGTAGGACGGTTTGAATGTTCGTGGGAAGGGAGTATTCTTGCTTTGCTGAGGATGGAACCAAGCCCACGCTGATCTTTGTCTCATCTCGGATCTTCGGCTGCAGCAAGAGACGACACGACTTTGAAGTAGGTCCCTGTGACGGCCTAAACCCTGAAACCAAAGGGCACCCGAATTTCTGAAGTCTTAATAGGGCTTCTTTGTCAAAGGTATCGAAAGGTGCTTACAGCAGGAGGTCTTGGTAAACCCTAAACCCTAAACCCTAAAACCCTATAAGACTCAAAGAGCCGTCGGGACCCGAGGCGTCAGACGCGACTCACCGCGCTGGACATCGTCGCGTTCATGCCGCACACTTGAAGGGTGAGAGGGTTTAGGGTTTAGGGTTTAGGGTTTAGGGTTTAGGGGGGTCGAGACGAGAATGGTTTCGAGAGCGTTGGGTTGCCGTTTGTTGGTTTCAGTTTGATGGTTCAGGGGTGTTTTCAAGGGCTTAAGTGCAAGGTTTTGCATTTTGGGGCCTGGGATTTAGGACCATGCCTTGCACGGTTGCATTCTTCTGTTTGGGCTCCGTGCTTACCTCGCAACACGCCTGGTGTTCAACGAGACGTCAGTCTTTCTGGACCATCACTACCCACTCGCCTCAACCTGCATATCTACTTCTCCGTGCGTCTAGACCCTAAACCCTAAACCCTCAGAGTCTCAGCGCGTCGGGGAGTTGCACTGCCCGGGTTCACACTGCAAATGAGGTTTGCGGGCTTAGGGCATGCGATTAAGCCCGCAACCCCTGGTTAGACACCAGAGCTTGGGGTTTAGGGTTTAAGGTTTGGGATTCAGGGTTCAGGTTTTATCTAAGGGAAGTTACATGGTCCCTAAACCCGTCTTGAAAGGGTTCTGCAGCATGGGCCCTTGGGTTTTGAGGGGCATATAAGGGGAATATAAGAGGTCCCCTTCTTTGGGGGGCCCAGACTAAGGGACCACGAAACTACCCCCGAAGAGTTTAGGGACAACAAGTGTAGGGCTGAGCGGCTAAGGTCGGCGGATCCCGACGAAGATCCTCATCAGTTCTGCAAGATGGAGCCGCACGAGCTGGAGTCCTCCTGGACATGTGGTTTCCTCTTGGTGCTTCAGGTTGCCAGTGTTAGGGTTTAGGGTTTAGGGTTTAGGGTTTAGGGTTTAGGGTTTAGGGTTTAGGGTTTAGGGTTTAGGGTTTAGGGTTTTGCCTTCAGGGTTCGAGGGTTTAGGGTTGAGGGCTTCACAAGCCAGACCCCCACGGCGGAGAATTCCTTCAAGTCTGATGTAAGGATCCTCACTTATTAACTTTGAACACTGTGTAGCCCGCGGAAGTCGGAGGGGAAACGCGTGAGCACGATCGCACAGCGAGAAGAATACCCTAAATTTCCGGAAAGGTCGAGGCAGGCCGGAGCTTGCACAGCAGGGATGGGTTAGGGTTTAGGGTTTAGGGTTTAGGGTTTGGGGTTTGGGGTTTCGGGGTTTAGGGGTTAGGGGTTAGGGGTTAGGGGTTAGGGTTTTGATGCACGCCTGGGTGCCTCTTGCACCAGCGCAGCCCGGCTTGGGGCTGCTCCCCAAGGGTTTAGGGTTTAGGGTTTAGGGTGTAGAGTTTAGGGTTTAGGGTTTAGGGAAGCAGACTTCGATCCTCCCTTCGCTCCATAGAGTTGTAGAGGATAGCCGTACCCAGTGTGACCCAATACCCGGAGGTTCATGGTACTTGTTAGCCTAGAACTGTCCTTCTAGCCCAGTGATATCCCTATTAGGGCACTTCAGGGGCTTATGAGTGGCATAAAACTGGGTCAGAAGTACCCAGAACCTCCAAGTACCTAGTGCGTCCTAGTTCCATATCAGCCCTACACCCTAAACCCTAAACCCTAAACCCTAAACCCTCAACGCTAAACCCTAAACCCTAAACCCTAAACCCTAAACCCTAAACCCTAAACCCTAAACCCTAAACCCTAAACCCTAAACCCTAAACCCTAAACCCTAAACCCTAAACCCTAAACCCTAAACCCTACCAAAAGGAAACATAGATCCAATAGAGCAGAGACTCCTCGTCCTTTCACAGGGATATGGGCTATCCTCAGGAAGCCGCCAAAGACAAAACCCACAACCCTGAAACCCCAAAACCAGATTCCTTGCCCCCCGTACCTACAAGGGTCCAGGTACACCTAAACAGGGAACATTTGGGCCTTAAAGTGCTTCCTAGGTACAAGTATATAATGACATGGTACCTGGACCCTTGGCGTAAACCCCCTCAACCATAAACCGACTGTATTCCCTGCTTCGCCATGTCCGCCCTATTTTTTTGCGGCCAGCCGCCAGGTACGCCACACGAAGAGCCAGGGACTGAGAAAGTGGAGGGGGAGGGGGTTAAGGCTTAGGGTTTAGGATTAAGGGTTTAAAAGGTGTAGGGTTTAGGGTGCAGGGTTTAGGGTTTGAAGGGTTAAGGGCTTCAAGGGTTTAGGGTTTTAGGGTTTTTGGTTTAGGGTTTAGGGTTTAGGGTTTAGGATTTAGGGTTCAGGGTTCAGGGTTTAAATGGTTCAGAGGGTTTAGGGTTTGGGGGCTTGCGGGAAGGGTTAGTGCCCCAAGGCCTGGCAGAGACAGACCGTAAATCCTTCATCCTAACCTTCCTAAACCCTACTTAGGGTTTAGGGCTGTTTAGGGTTTAGGGTTTAGGGTTCAGGGTTCAGGGTTCAGGGTTTAGGGTTTAGGGTTTAGGGTTGAACTCTGCACCCTAAACTTGAAAGGCCCCGGAGCCTTGAACTCTGCACGCCCTAAGCCCCTTAATGTTGACAAGCCCGATAAGCCCTGAAACGAACCCTATAAACCCTTGTCTCAGCCCATTTCAACTCCTAAAATCCTAAAGCCCTAAAGCCCTCAAACCCTCAAGCACCTCAAAAGCCTTAAAACCCTCAACCCCAAGCCCTTATCAGCCCTAAACCCTATAACCCTGAAACCCTGCAGGCCTAGAGCCCGAAAGTTTCGAGAGGTCACAGACCAGAGCCTCAAGCACACCCTTGAGTTTGGAATCGGCATCCACCACGCCGGACTTCCCGAGAGGGACCGGAAGGCCAGGTTTAGGGTTTTAGGGTTTGGGGGTTAGGGTTTTAGGGTTCAGGGTTTAGGGTTTTAGGGTTTTAGGGTTTTAGGGGTTCAGGGTTTTAGGGTTTTAGGGTTTTAGGGTTTTAGGGTTTTAGGGTTTTAGGGTTTTCGGGTTTTAGGGTTTTAGGGTTTAGGGTTTTAGGGTTTTAGGGTTTGGGGGTTTTTGGGTTTTAGGGTTTTAGGGTTTTGGGGTTGTAGGGTTGTAGGGTTTGGGGTTTGGGATTTTCGGTTGACAGATTCACATGTGCCGAGGAAAGCATGAGTCGAGCGATGAGGCTTCCCTGCCTTTAAAGCCTGGCCCGCAGTGCTGACCATCCATCCAAAACCAAGTTTAGGGTTTAGGGTTTAGGGTTTAGGGTTAGTAGGCTAGATTTCCCCCGACTATGGCATCGAGCACCCTCAACCCCCAAAGCCCCCTAAACCCTAAACCCCCTCAACGGACACTAGGCTTTGGGTCTTGATTGGGACCTGCACGCTCGGGGCGTTGGGGGCTTTAGGCCATGGAGGTGTAGTGTGCGTATAGAGTTTAGGGAATGGGCTTTAGGCCTTAGAATTTGGTAAGCCCTTGGACCCTAAATCCCCAACCTTCACCCTAACCCCTACACCGCCCAAACCCTTAAAACCTAAACCCGAAACTCCAAACCCCTAAATCCTAAATCCTAAACCCTAAACCCTAAACCCTAAACTCTAATCCTAAACCCTAAACCCCCAACCCTCAACCCCGAACGTGGGAAGGTGGTTGAGGAGCTCTTCGTCGAGGCGAAGATCATGGCGCCCCTCTCAGCTTCGGCTGGTAAAAGCCACCCCCCCCCCCCCCCACACTTCACACTTGCCGGTAGTTGGGTTTAGGGTCTAGGTTTTGGGGTCCGGGGTCTGGGGTTTGGGGTTTCGGGGTTTAGGGGGTTTGGGCGTGCAGGGGTTTGGGGTTTAGGGCTTAGGGCCCCACACTTACCTTGGTGGCTTAGGTCTTATGGTTTAGATTTTGCGAGTGCCTCAAAAATGGAAAATACGTTTATCTGTGGGGGGCGGGGGGGTGCTTTTGAGGGATTTTGGTCGCACAAAGCACCGGCATGTTTGGGACTCTTGAGGTAGGCCTTATAGTTCATCCTCAGCCCGGTTTGTCTAAGGGTAAGTCATCTGGTCCCTTACCTTCTTCAAGGGGTTCTGAAGTATCGGCCCGTGGGTTTATAAGGGGTCTATAAGGGGTATATAAGGGGTCTATAAGGGGTTTATAAGGGGTCTATAAGGGGTCTATAAGGGGTCTATAAGGGGTATATAAGGGGTCTATAAGGGGTCTATAAGGGGTCCCCATTTAAGGGCCCATACTACGGGACCAATGTGACTACCCTCAGACAAGTTTGCTCTGTTAGAGCTTGGGAGCTGGGCCCCTGCCAGGGCTTGCGGGCTTAAGGTTTAGGGTTTAGGGTTTAGGGTTTAGGGTTTCGGGTTTCGGGCTTATGGTCTTTCATATTCTGGGTCCACCGCAGCACCGGTCTTCCCGAAACCAGAATTTCCCTAATTCAGCGCTGTGGTCCCCTCTCCAAGACCCCTCCCCCCTCTGGGGCTTCCTGAACTTGAATCTCTCTGATCCTGAGCCCGAAACCCTAACCCCCTAGAATGGAACCCGCAGACCCCGAAACCCGAAACCCTAAACCTTATTTCTAAACCCCGAAACCTCTAAACCCCCGGCCCCCCATGCTTGGAAGCCTAGTTGATGTGCGTCTCTCGCGACACCACATGACCCCCTCCGCGCCAAGCTTGTTAAACAAAGACAAAATCCAGAAGCTCTGTAAACCCTAAAAACCCACCCTTTGAAGCCTATAAAGCCTAAAGCCAAAGAACCCTGAACCCGACTCCCTAACCCCTTCAACCCTAAGAACCCTGAACCCTTAAACCCTCAAACCCTTAAACCCTAAACCCTTAAACCCTTAAACCCTTAAGCCCTAAACCCTAAACCCTTAAACCCCTAAACCCTTAAACCCTTAAACCCTTAAACCCTAAACCCTAAACCCTAAACCCTTAAGCCCTAAACCCTTAAACCCTTAAACCCTAAACCCTAAACCCTTGAACCCTAAACCCTTAAACCCTAAAAGCCCTAAACCCGACTCCCCTGAGGTGCTGATTTCCACGTCGACGCTGGCGTGGGGTGTGAACTTCCCGGCTCATCTCGCAGATTCCCCAGCCGGGGCTTATGCTGAGGGTTTAGGGTTTAGGGTTTAGGGTTTAGGGTTTAGGGTTTAGGGTTTAGGGTTTAGGGTTTAGGGTTTAGGGTTTAGGGTTTAGGGTTTAGGGTGCCAACAGGTGAACTTTACATTTTGTACTTCCCTTCTTGGTGTCAGAGGATCAAATGATACATGATGTGTAGGAACATGTTCAGAGGAATTGCACGATTGACGTTTTGGAGTTGTCGTGTTTTAGGGCTTGGGGCTTGGGAGATGTGCCGTACTCTTGCTTGCTTTCTTTTGTTTCAGGTTGTTTGGCTTTGTCTAGCCCTAAACCCTAAACCCTTAGAACACCCTGAGCCCTGGGGTTCTAAACCCCAAGGTCTCGCAAAGGGCTCCCAAGCCGCTCTTAACTCTGGTGCCTCAAGCCCTGAATCCTTTTTCAAGCTGGTCCAAAAACTTGAGTCGTGTTTCTGTTTCAGGCTTCAGGGTTTAGGGTTTAGGATTTAGAGGGTTTGAGTGGTTTGGGGAGTTTGGGGGCCTTGGGTTTCCAGTTTTGGGGTTGAGGGTGTATGTTTCAGGGCTTTCTGGTTTTGAAGAATTTGGGGTAGGGGTCCGCCCCAAACCCTAAACCCTCAACGCACAGCCCTCAACCCTAAACCCCAACCCTAAACCCTAAACCCTAGTAGTGCAAGTCCATTGTTTCAGGTCGCAGAAAGCCATTACAAACCCTAAAAGTTCGGCGGCTCTAGCACAATAAACGTAGGTTGGGATGTTCCCCCTTGTACCAACAGTCCTTAACCCTAAGGGTCCATGTGCCTAAATATGGAATACTAAGTATGGAATACTTGGGCCCTTGAACCTCCTTGATAGGGACTTGGGGGCCCAAGTATATAACAATGAGGTACATGGACCCTTAGGGTAGTAGGAAGTTTAGTACCCCCGATTAGAAGCCCCAGTAAGGACTGTTCGTGTAAGGGAGAACATCCAAAAACAATTGGGTACTTGGACCTTCCGAGATCCAAATCTGCGCGCTAGTCATGAAACACGCCCCCTCTTGTGACGAGTGCTATCTGGATACTCTAGCTCCCTATAGGTAGAGCCCACTTTGAAAAAAAACAGGCTCCCTAACCGTAAACTCTCAACCCAAAACACTAAAAACCTCAAAGCTCAAAGCCCAAAGCCCTAACCACAAACCCCAAACCCCCAAACTCCAAACCCCACATCCCAAACCCCAAACCCCAAGCCCCAAGCCCCAAGCCCCAAACCCCAAACCCCAAACCCCAAACCCTATCCCAAGCCCTAGAGGCCTTATCCCTGTAAAGCCTACTGCTCAGGTGATTATCAAGGGCACGGAGTACTACGACGGGCAGCTGAAGCGTTATGCGCCCCGCCGCCGATCAAAGCCCCGTGTAAGGGTTTCAGGGTTTAGGGTCTAGGGTTTAGGGTTTAGGGTTTAGGGTTTAGGGTTTAGGGTTCAGGGTTTAGGGTTTAGGGTTTAGGGTTTAGGGTTTAGGGTTTAGGGTTTAGGGTTGTGGAAGAAAGTTTACCTGCAACCCCATACCTGACAATATAGCTCCCCGATGTTCGCACCTACAGCATCGTGTTGCCTTCACAAGCTCCAATTCTAGTGAGGAGCACGTCTCTTATGTCGCTTTGCCGGCTACAAACCACCCCCAAACCCCCCTAAACCCTAAACCCTAAACCCTAAACCCCAAACCCCAAAGCTTTTGTTGGTCTGTGGCCGGCAGAAGCTTTGGCAGCGCGAAGCACGCAACAGTCGCCCAGATGGCAAGGACAGAAGAACAAACGAATAACCTTAGCTCCCTAGATCCTTAACACCGAGGTTCCCCCTGAACAAACATTAAACCCCACACCCTGCAACACCATTGCCTTAGAAACCGAATTGCATTCTAAAAAAGTTAGCTCCTTTTGGAGGCCCCCCTGAAACCTGAAAAGAAAAGACATGGTAGGGCCACGTGCTCAGGTGGACTTTCCCATCACCGACGTGCTGCAGATGACGCGCTGCTCAGTGTAGGGGTTTTCTGGCATCCCAGGCTCAGCTCAAGGGTTTAGGGTTTAGGGTTTAGGGTTTAGGGTTTAGGGTTTAGGGTTTAGGGTTTAGGGTTTAGGGTTTCGGGGCTAAACCTTGAAGCCTAGCCCGCGGAACACTAAACCCTATAGATTCCTGAAATACACCCTAATCAGGTTGTTACAGTACATGGAGCGGGCCTCGCCAGAGCCCGAAAACAGCTGCTCTGTTGGTTTTGGAGTTTGGGGTATAGTATAGGGTCTGGGGTCTCCATTGATGATAACCCTTAAAGTTGCCCTCTTTTGGTGACGGTCCCCCCCCCCCGCCTATACGCTCTTAAATCAAACAACAGTTTATCACGCACTCCTGAACGATGCAGAAAAGGAGCTTCGCAAACAGACCCTAGTCTAGAACAACCCTACCCCCTGAACCCCCTATTCGGCCACACGTTTTGCAGAATGTTCCCTCGATCCTAGGCAGTTGGGGTGGGGGGGAGGAGGAGGAGTCTTTTGGGGAGGATTGTGGCTGAAAGGGAGACCTAAACCGAACTCAGGAACCTCTTCGGAACCCAGCAGGTGAGCTTAACAAAGCGAGCGAGCCAGGAGCAGAGAGAGAGAGAGAGAGAGAGATCAGTAGTAATTATGCATGTTCAGAAACACCAAGCACGCTGATAACCCCTTCCCCCAAAAAAAAGTGAACACCAACATCGATAAATCCCCAAAGCCCTAAACCCCAACCATCCATTCTCAAGAACTAGGATGGGTCGCGCTGGCCGGCCGCAGTTCGACTCGGAAGCCCGCGCCGTGATCATGGTGCATGAGCAACCGGGACTTCGTTGTGGGCAGAGGGTAAAGAGTTTAGCGTTCAGGGAACTCGGTTTCAGTAGTGATGTAATGCGGGGTTCAGCGATGATGTTTGGTAAGGCTCACAACTAACTCGATCTTAGAACAAGCGATTAATCCTAGGACGCAGAGTAGGGATTTTGCCCCTTTTCTTAGGGTTCAGGTTCCCGTATCAGCCTCTTTAAACCAAAACAAGGGCACCCTTGCGATTTGTAGGTTACTCTTGGGTCTAGCATCTTATGTAATTAGGTAGTTCCCCTTGTTTTTAACGAAGGCCCACAAGTGAGTACCAAGTGCCAATCAGGGGTGTCATGCTGCGCAAGCCCTGAACCCAACACCTGCAAGCCCACTGCAAGCACTCATATCTCTTGGTCTTCCCATCCATCCCTTGGTTTTGCACGCCGTTGCATGCGGTGGTCAAAATCTTATCATTCCCGCGGAGCAGGTTCAGGGCCTAGGAATTGGGGTTTCGCTGTAGTGCTTTGGGTTTAGGGTTTGGGGCAAAGGGTTCGCGATTTCTCAGTTCTGCGATCTGTGGCTGGAAGCTCTCGACACATGGCCGGACGCAGCGGAACCCATTCTCAAGATTTGTTGTTGCTGCTTGTGGTTGCCGCGGGCGGGTTCATGTGTCTTACGGTTCAAACACCGTCTCCCCTCACCCCACCCATCCATGTACCTATATACCTGTACAGTACATACTTGGCCCTAAAGCTACTAGACAGGAATCCCCGTTAGCAGCAAGCATGTACCGTATCGGTACGTGGATCATTACGGTACATGAGCCTTGTTTTGGCCCCCCTGAGTCCCCCTTGATAAGCCTTACGTAAGCTTTCCCACCCGATTTCCCACCCGATTTCCCACCCGGGGATCAGCCTCCAAAACCTTCAAACCCTACCCCCCACCCAGCTCTAAACTCTAAGCTTTACCAAAAGACCCCAAGGCCTAGGTGTTTTACTATAAAGCACCTTAGAAGATTCCTGCTTAACCTATGTAGCAAGATAGGTTTGGGGTTCTACAGGTAAGCCCATGGACCTGCACCGACACTAAGGCCGAAGAAGAACTTCTACCGCCGCTTCATTTACGAGCCGTTCCCGGCACCTCGGCTTTGTGACTTTTTACCTTCATGGCTCCCCTTGGTGCCTGGCATTGATTTGTTTGTTGGGTGTTAGGGTTTAGGGTTTGGGGTTTAGGGCTTAGGGCCTAGGGTTTAGGGTTTAGGGTTTAGGGTTTAGGGTTTAGGGTTTAGGGTTTAGCGTTTAGGGTTTAGGGTTTAGGGTTGGGGGAGGGGTTGCTTTGCCTGCTTGCATTTTTGGGGCTTGCAGATATTGCAAGAGAAGAGCAAGCAGAATCAAAGAGTCAGGACCAGTGAAAACAACACATGCACTGTCTGCGATTCCTATGACTCCCAGGCAGAACCGCTACTCCCTTGCTTCCGGGTTTGCTTCCCTTCTACCCTTAACACCAACGCCGCATCAAGAAACAAGGGGTTGGGGTTTAGGGTTTAGGGTTTAATTAGGGTTTAGGGTTTAGGGTTTAGGGTTTAGGGTTTAGGGTTTAGGGTTTAGGGTTTAGGGTTTAGGGGGTTAGGCTTCCGGATGCTTCGGGAGGCCCTGAGAAACCCAAAGCACAGCGGATCTACTTTTGAGATCGCGCACAGAGTCTGAGATTATGGGTGTATCCCGGTTGCCGACCTAGAATTCAGGAGCTATGGGGGTCAGGGCTTAGGGTTTAGGGCTATGTTTAGGTTTGCAGGGTTTAGGGTGCAGGGCTTGGTATCGGAATTAGTGGCTTCTTACATTGTTTTCGAGGGTTTGGGGTTCACCTCAAACCCTAAACCCTAGGCCCTAACCCTGAACCCTAAACCCCGAAACAAACACCAAGACCTACGTACCTTCCACAAGGTGGAGTCCTCGCTGCACGAGCAGCTGACGGACCACCTCAATGCTGAAATTGTGGCCAAGACGATCAGGCGAGCTGCGCATGTGGGTTTGGCAACCCGAAACCCTAAACCCTAAACCCTAAACCGTGAAGACTGGGGAGGCTTCGGTGTCAGGATCGTGGCCTAAATCCTCTACTTTAAGTGGGATACTAAGTACCCTGAACCTCCAAGTAGGGGTTCCGAGTCATCCGTGATAGGGTTTAGCTTAGTTTTCGGCCTTAGGATTCGAGGGGTTGGGGTTTTAGGGCTCAGGGTGTCTGGGCTCAACAGCGCGAGGAGGTAGCCCTAAACCCTAAACCTTACTCCCTGAACCCTGAACCCGAAACCCTAAACCCTAAACCCGAAACCCTCCGGAAACCTTGCGGCAACCTCAGAGGACACGCGAGGAAGCCATCGACTATGTCACCTGGACACGCCCTGCCTTGGGTGTTGGGCTTTGGGTCATCGGGTGCTGGCTTGGGGGGTGTAGGACTTAGGGTTTTAGGGTTCAGGGCTTAGGGAGAGCAACCTTTCGTATGATTTCGGGAACAGGCCTCGTTTAGAGTTCATAGCGGTTTGGTGTTATAAGCGCCTCGGGTTACCTCAGGTAATGTTTGTTTTTGTACGGTTTAGGATTACGCTAAACCCGGATAACCCTGAACCCTGGGCCCTGGACCCTCAGGGTTTAGGGTTTAGGCACGTGGAGGTTTGGCTTGTCCTCAACGCCATCCAGTACTACGGGGGGTGTGTTTCCCCAAATTAGGGTTTAGGGTGCAGGGTTAGGGCTTAGGGTGTAGGGCTTGGAGTTTAGAGTTTTAGCCTGCTTTTAGGGTTCCTTGATGAAGGTGTAAAAGCGGATGGTCGTATCTTTGGGTGTAGATACAGGGGGTACCCTTTTAGGGGAAGCTCTAGTATGGTTCCAATCTTGGGGTTATTCTTGCTGTCATGCTGTGTCACTGTGTCCAAGAGTGGCTTAGGATTTAGCTGGGAGCTCACTTAGTTCACTGGCAAACCGGCCCGAGGGTCGTAAACCCCAAGCCTGAAACATTTGGGGGGGTGGGGGGGTGGGGGGGTTGTACCCTAAACCCTAAACCCTAAACCCTAAACCCTAAACCCTAAACCCTAAACCCTAAAGGACCTACTTCTTCCGCCGCCTCACCGCAAACCCCGCCTACTACGACCAGCAGGCTCATGCTCCGTACCTCCCAGGGTTTATAAGGGTTTAGGGTTCAGGGTTTAGGGTTTAGGGTTTAGGGTTTAGGGTTTAGGGGTTCCTAAACCCCTTAAAAAGTGGAGCCTCCGGCTGCCCAAAGCCCTCAACCGCAGAGGCCCTTAAACTCCGGGTTCTAGGGCTTGCGGTTTATAAGGATTTTAGGGCTTTTGTGTTTTTTTTTGGGTTTTTGTTTTTTTTTACAGGTTTTTGGGGCTTTTAGGTTTTTTTTGGGTTCGTAGGGCTTTTAGGGTCTTGTGTAAACACGCAAGGCGGCGCTGCTCGAGACCCCCGACTTCGAGAAGCAGAAGGCCGAGAGGGCAAGATTCTGTCGCTACACTTGGGGGTTTAGGGTTTAGGGTTTAGGGTTTAGGGTTTAGGGTTTAGGGTTTAGGGTTTGCCCTGATACCTTGGTAGCCCAGTGATACCCTTTACTTTTTTTTGGCTCTGGCTTCCCTTGTGAAGTAACCAACCAAACAAAAGGTGCCCTGATGGTTACTGGGCTACCAAGTACATGAAGAGGCGCTAGCACTGGCATGTCCCCCCTTGTTTGGGTTGTGCTTTGGGATACTTTTTCCATTCCCCTTCTTTCCTGATAAGGGAACCCGTTCATAAATCATGTTCGAAGGGTGTAAAGCACAACCCAGTTATGCCAACCGTCCTTTCTAGGGACTATAAAAGGGGGGCAATGACTACAATCCCTATTAAGGACTGCTAGTCTAAGGCGGAACATCCCGGGCCTAACACCCTGCCCTCAACCCCGACGATGCAAAACTCCAATTTCCCGATACAAAACTCCAATATTAGGGTTTAGGGTTTAGGGTTTAGGGTTTAGGGTTTAGGGTTTAGGGTTTAGGGTTTAGGGCTTTTCCAACCCACAGCTCCCAAGTCCCAAACCTTGTGGGAGGCTCCGGAGTGTGAAATCCCCCAACTTTTAGGGCCTGAGCCTGCAACCGTAAATCTCACCAACTCTCAAACCTCAACTCTCAATCCTCAGCTTGTCTAGGCCCGCTTCCAGGGAGCCCGTGTGCCTTCTGTCTCCGTCTGTGTCTCCGTGTATGTTTTTTTAGTGGGCTTGGGGGCAAGTGATGTTAGAAGCCCCCCTAAACAAGCTGGGGAACCGTTTATGCCCTGGTGCTCGGAGATCTACTAAAAGAACGTTATTAACACAAGTTCTTCGGATGATGTAGAGCACAGTGTGGTTACCTTGTGGTACTGTGGCGTATGTTCCTTGGCCAGAAACCCTAAACCCCAAACCCTGAACCCTAAATCCTAAACCCTAAGTCCTAAACCCTAAACCCTAAACCCTAAACCCTAAACCCTAAACAGAAACCCAGCAAGTCCTTCTGCAGGACATGCTGGCAAACTACATTGAGCGGCTCATGAACAAGTGCTTGGACGAGCTCATCCGATCAGGCGTCCCAGCCGAGACTGCACGACGAACCTTGTGCAGGGAACGGCCGTTTAGGGAGCACAGGGTTTAGGCCTTTCATTCCCCCACAAGAGATTGAAAAGTCCTATACAAAGCCTAACGCCAGTCACAAAGACAAAGCTCTTTGAAAAGGGGCCCCGTCTTAAAATGGGTCTGTCGCTACTCTAGAACAAGTTCTCAGACGATTACAACCCCCAGGCCCCAAACCTTGCGGTACCCTAAACCCTAAGCCCTAAACCCCAAACCCTAAACCCTAAACCCTCAACCCCTAAACCCCTAAACCCTAAACAGGGGATATGTCAGGCAAGCCAGGGAAGCTCTGCACCCTGAACCCTAAAAGCTCTTGACCCTGGCGTTAGGGTTTAGGGTTTAGGGTTTAGGGTTAAGGGTTTAGTGTTTAGGGTTTGGGGGTCAGGGTTCAGAGTTTAAGGTTTAGGAAGCCCCCCCCAAACCCACTCCAGCGAATCCGCAAGAGCCCTTTCACAACTCCTGCAAGCGTCCAAACCCATTCCAAGCCTAAACCCTAATCACCCTAATCCCTTCAAACCATGAAACCTAAACCCCTAACCCCCCATCAACCCTAAACCCTAAACCCTATACCCTTAACCCTTAACCCTAAACCTCCAAACCCCTCATGCCTCAGCCTAGATACCCCAAAACCCTAAACCCTAAACCCCAAACCCTAAACCCTAAACCCCAAACCCTAAACCCTAAACCCTGCCTAAACCCCAAACCCTATGTTTCCTGTACTCAAACCCTCAACCCCTCGAAGGCTGCATCGAGCTTCGCGAGGCACAGGTCTCCCCGGGAGGCGTGGGGAAGCCGCCGCGTGGGGTCTCGAGTTTCGGGCTAGGGTTGAAGGTTTCGGGTTTAGGTTAACCCTAAACCCTTAACCCTAAACCCTAAGCCCTAAACCCTAAACCCTAAACCCTAAACCGGTTTGGGGTTTAGGTTTAGGGCTTGGGGTTTAGGGTGGGGAAGGAGTTAGGGTTGACTGCATCGGGGAACTGAGGTCTCAGGCCTCTTGTTGACAAGATCTGTTTTTGGCGGCTTTTGGAATTGGGGCTTTACAGTTCTGTCAGGTTTGTGATTTGATTGCTGGGGCTGTTGTATGATGATGTTTTTTGTTTTTGTTATGGGGGCGGGGGGGGGGGGAGGCGGGGGCGCGTGGGGTGGTGGCTTTGGAGGTCAATAGGGTTTGTCTTGGGGGCTTAGGGCTTAGGATTTGGGTTTATGGGGTTTCAGTTCAGAGTCGTAGGCTTTAAGGGGTTTGGGTTAAATTCTGCGTTAAGCTCCCAAACCCCCCCCCTCCCCCGGCACGCAAAGCCCTACCCAAACCCTAATTCCCCAAAGCCCTGAAATTTGAATCGTCAACTCCCAAAAGCCCTGCGCCCCAAACCCTAAACCCTTAACCCTAAATCGTAATCCCCAAACCCCAAACCCTAAACCCCTAAACCCCAAACCCTAAACCCTAAACCCCAAACCCTAAACCCCTAAACCCCAAACCCCAAACCCTAAACCCCAAACCCCTAAACACCAAACCCTAAACCCTAAACCCCAAACTCTTAGCCCAAAACCCGAAAACCCCAAAACCCGTCCTCACGGCAGGTGTCGCCTCGGCAGCTGTGGAGCCAACCAAGCTCGGGCGTATCACCTCCTTGCGCCCTTAGGGTTTAGGGTTTAGGGTTTAGGGTTTAGGGTTTAGGGTTTAGGGTTTAAGTTCTCGGGGTCAGCGTGGTTTGGGGGTTTAGGGTTTAGGGCTTAGGGTTTAGGGCTCAGGGTTTACGGCTATAGGATCTGGGGTGTAGGGGTTTAGGGGTGTCATCAGGGGTATAGGGTTTGGGGGTGTCGGGGTGTAGTGGTGTAGTCTTGTAGGGTGACGGGTGGGTGGATGAGCAAGCTTGTGAGAAAAGAATGCTAAGGTGAACTTGAACTGCCCAAGATGTTTAGGGTTCAGGGTTTAGGGTTTAGGGTTTTTGGTTGAGGGTTGAGGGTTGAGGGTTTAGGGTTGGGTGGGTTTGGAGGGGGGCTTTTGGATTTTCTTATTTGGGGCCCGTTCAGGGGCTGAGAGTTAGGGTTTAGAGTTCGGGTTTCTCGGACTTCCGCTCGGTAATCTGGAGTGGGGCTTAGGGGTTGTAGGCTGTTTTACGCCTTGGAGTGTGTTTCAGAAACCCTAAACCCTAAACCAACCCTAAACCCTAAACCCTAAACCTTAAACCCTATGTCCTAGATCCAGCACAGGTACTACCTCAGCCACCGCACTGTGGCACAGCGCGATGCCCGGTTCTCCAACCAACTGCTCCTGGTGACAAGACACTCTAAACCCTAAACCATAAACCCTATATAAACCCTAAACCTTATATGAGCCTTATAGACCTGAGAGTCAAAACCCTCGAACCCGGAAAACATGGAACCCCCAAACCCGACTCCCTAGACCTCCCAGACCTTACCTCTAAACCCGAAGACCTTGAACGCTAAACCCTCAAACTCTGAAGCCCTAAACCCTAAACACTAAACCTTATAAAGCTCTTTTTGACCAAAACAAGCCTCACTCCTGACCACCAGAGCCCCTTTGGCCCCAAACCCCTTCCTGGCATGAAGCTTGGGTAGCGGACAAGGGTTATAGGGATTACACTATAACAACCCCCACCCCCGCAAAACAAAGGCAAGTGAATACACAAGAAATCGTAAATACCTATATTCGTGTTTAGGGTCAAGGGTTGTTGATTTATGAGGGGACCCTAAACCCTAAACCCCAAACACTAAACCCTAAACCCCAAACCCCAAACCCCAAACCCTAAACCTTAAAGCCCATGTAGGCCGAACCTCAGGAGAAAGAGTCTGGACCCCAAGAGTCATCCTCGGGATGTATGTAGATTGCTTAGTAGCTGAATGAGTATGTGGGTTTGGCAACCCTAAACCCTATAAACCCTGAACCCTAAACCCCTACACCGTGAAGAATGGGGAGGCTTCGGCGTCAGGATGGTGGCCCCAGAACCTCAAAGGTCTACTTGGAGGCTCATGGTACTCAGTAACCCAGTTCTTAGTAGCTGAGTGAGTACACTTTGCACTTTTTGGGATACGATAACCCCCCTAGATAGAACTGAAAGTGTAAACTTTTTGGGGGCTTATGACCTCAGCAACTAAGATGGAGACTTTTGGGCTTCCAGAGTTTCGGGGAGGGGACGAAGCATGAGGGTTCAGGGTTTAGGGTTTAGGGTTTGGGGTTTAGGGTTTCGAGCTTCTGGGCTTAAGGTTTAGGGTTTAGGGTTCAGGGTTTGGGTTGAAGGCGTTTGCAGCTTACAGCGGTTGATTGCTTAGGAGCTACCAGGGCTTGTCGGATTGAGGTGTACTGGTTGAAGTTACAGGCAGTGACTGACAGGCTGCGCTGTAGATTCCCTACTTATAGTCCCATGTAGTTTCTGCCCGCGAGCCTCCCCGTAAGCCCTAAACCCTAAACCCTAAACCCTAACCCTAAACCTTAAACCCGAAACGCTACGCCCTAAACTCTACGATGAAGGTTCCAGCGGACCTTGGCCAGAGAGGGCCTGGGATTTGTGGAGATCATGCGGGTGCTTTGTGAATGCAGGGCCCTCTGGGGTTCAGTTTGTTTCTCCTCCCCACCAACCCTATATCCTGAATCCTGAATCCTAAACCCTAAACCCTAAACCCTAATTTGGGGGTTTGCACACCTGGACCCCCAAAGCACCCGTATAAGAGCGGCCTGCTACCGCCACATTGCACGGGGCATCTAGTCCAGGTGTCCGGATACTTGGGAGTTCCTGTCGCATTTAACAGCTTAATATTAAAATTCAGGGTTTAGGGCTTGAAGTTTATGATTTACAGTGTATAAGGTTTAGAGTTCAGGGCTTAGGGCAGTGCGGATCTTTGGGATGTTTTTTCGGGCTTTGAGGGTTTATGGCTGCATGGGCATGTAAAGCTTGTAGGATGTAGGGCTTAGGTGCAGGGGCTTAGGATTGATGGTTTCGAGTTGAGGCCTTACCCTAAGGGTCCATGTGCCTCAGGTTTATACACTTGAACCCCAAAGTCCCTATGTAGGAGGTACCTTAAGGCCCCAAGCATTCCACGTTTAGGCACATGGGCCCTTGGGGCCATAGATCTATACTAGGGGGGCACTTGAGAGGCCGGCTGGAGCCGACTGACCCTTAGGGTTTAGGGTTTAGGGTTTTGGGGCTTGGGTTTAGGGTTTAGGCTCTGTCAAGGGATGAGGGCTCGATGTGCGCATTGTGTTGGGGGGTGCTCCTAGAAGGGAACTTGCACGGATGACCAACCCGCAGATGTAAAAACATAGATTGCATCCCCCTAAACCCTAAACCCTAAACCCTAAACCCTAAACCCTAAGCCCTAAACATCCCCAACGCCCGTAGCAGAATCCTGTGCACCCCAAAGTCGCTGGTGGGGTTCGAGGCTTGTGTGGCACATTTTGGAGCCTAATCCCTAAACCCTCAACCCTCAGCACTAAACCCTAGGCTGCCAAAACCCAATACCCTAAACCCTAAACCCTAAACCCTAAACCCGCAAACGGGACGCTTGTCGCTGCGCGCTTAAGGCCCAGAGTACGACGAGCTGCCGGTCCGCCACAACGAGGTTCTGAACCCAAAGCCCCAGGTTTGGGGTTCAGGGTTTTGCAAGTTAGGTTTTAGGGTCTAGGGTTTAGGGCTCAGGGTTCAAGGTTAGTCAACCTGAAGCCCCCAAGTCACCCTAAGTTACCCTAAGTTACCCCCAAGTTATCCGAACTCACGCTATGTCACCCTAAAACGCCAAACCCTCATCCCGAACATAGCTTAAGTTAGTCGAACTCACCCCTAAGACCCACAAGAGGGTTTAGGGTTTAAGCTTAGGGCCCCTAAACCCTTTCAAAGCTTAGGGGCTTAGCATTGCAAAGGGCGGTTTGCGGGGTCTCGTCCTCTGGCTCGAAATGCCCTAGAGATTGCTTTGGGGTTTGGGGGCGCGCACCCTAAACCCTCAACCCTCAACCCTCAACCCTAAACCCTAAACCTTAAACCCTAAAACGGGGTTAGGGTCGAGGGAAAAGGGTATTGGGGATCCTCTCTTGGGCTTATGCCTCTGAGCGGCGGGTGCTGGGTATGCACGCGGTGTTTGGAGCAGTCGCGCCCGAGACCAGAAGGACGGAAAGCCCTTACCCCCTTAAAGTTTAAACCCCCTAAACCCTCTAAACCCCCTAAACCCCCAAACCCCCTGAAAACCCTAAACCCTGAACATCCGCAACCCCCCCCCCCCCCCGAAACCCAAAAGACTTAAACACTGAACCCAAAACCCCAAACCCTGACCCTGGATGGAGCATAACCCTAAACCCTAAACCCTAAACCCTAAATTCCTACCTAGGATGTAGGGCATGCTCAAAGCCTTCAGGACAAGCTGAATGCCGAGTTTGCCGAGCACTGCCCTCTAGAGGCTTGCTGGGCGTTTAGGGTTTAGGGTTTAGGGTTTAGGGTTTCGGGTTTGGGGTTTGGGGTTTGGGGTTTGGGGTTTAGGGTTTAGGGTTGCAAGGCAAAGGGCCGGGCGTGGGGTTCAGGTTGAGGGCTCGGGGTCTAGGGTGTAGGGTTTAGGGTTTAGGGGGTTCAGGTTTTGGGTTCAGGGATAGGGTCTAGGGATCCGTGTACCGATGTGGTTTGAGGGCAGTCCTTGCAGTGTTTCCTGTCAGCCCAAAATCGCCCCGTGCCCTGCACTCCTAAACCTTGTCTAGACTCTGAAGACGTGAAGCCCTTAAACCCTTAAGCTCACGACCCCTAACCTAGGGTAGATAGGACTCAAAAATTCCCAGCGCTCCCTTCAGGCCCAAGTATTGACCCTAAACCCTAAACCCTAAACCCTAACCCCTAAACCCCAAACCCCTAAACCCCTAAACCCCTAAACCCTAAACCCCTAAACCCCTAAACCCCTAAACCCCTAAACCCCTAAACCCCTAAACCCTAAACGCTAAACCCTAAACCCTAAACCCTAAACCCTAAACCCTAAACCCCTAAACCCTAAACCCTAAACCCTAAACCCTAAACCCTAAACCCTAAACCCTAAACCCTAAACCCTAAACCCTAAACCCTAAACCCTAAACCCTAAACCCTAAACCCTAAACCCAATACTATACATTCACATCGAACCTAGGAACCTCTCGGAGCCAACCGCTGCCTTTGGAAGGTGGACCTGGCAATCCAGGCCTACGACTCGCCCCACACCAAGGCCTTCTTGCTGCTGCAGGCGGGGAGGGTTTAGGGTTTAGGGTTTAGGGTTTAGGGTTTAGGGTTTAGGGTTTAGGGTTTAGGGTTTAGGGTTTAGGGTTTAGGTTTTAGGGTTTAGGGTTTAGGGTTTAGGGTTCAGGGTTCAGGGTTCAGGGTTCAGGGTTCAGGGGGGGAGGGGGGGGAGGGGGGGGAGGGGGGGGGGGGGGGGGGGGGGGGGGGTAGGGTTTAGGGTTTAGGGCTTAGGGTTCATACAGGGTTTAGCGCTTAGGGTCCTGTTTTCATGCGTGTTTTCTTTTCTTTTTTCTATCGGTTACGTCCTTGGGTTTACATATTCACATATAATATATATATATATATTACATACTTCAGAGTTTGAGGTTCAGGTTTCTAGGGCTTTGACCCTAAAAACCCTGAATGGCTAGGGTTTCCTGACCTCAGGCCTCTTCATGCCTTTGCGCACGCCAGTGGGCCGCGCACCCCCAAGCCTCCACAAACCTTGTGGGTGTAGGGATTATGGTTTGGGGGTTACGGTTGTACATGGTTTAGGGTTTGGGTTCAGGGTTTAGGGATTTGGGTTTTAGGGATCCAATAGAATCCAAAGCGTCCCTCATGAAATCCCTCAACCCCAAACTCTCAAATTCCAGAAGCCTGCGCACCTCCCGCCACCCAAAACCAAAAAACAAAGCGCTTCATACACCCCTCCACGCTTAGCCCGAAACCTCCCCGCCCCCCCGAACCCTGAACTCTGAAACTTGAAATGCGATCCCCATGAACCCCCGCCTGGATGCCCAAGCCTTCCCGTGGCCTTTCTTGGCTAGTAGTTTAGGATTCAGGGTTTGGGATGTAGGGTTTAGGATTTAGGGTTTAGGGTGTAGGGTTTAGGGTTTAGGATTTCCTCGCGTAGAAGGAATACGAAGGTTTAACATCTTTTTCACCCATTGCGGACTGGAGAAGTCAGTGTCAGCGTTTTGGGCTTTAATCTATATGTCTGGCATTTTAGGGTTGAGGGCTTTAGGGTTTAGGGTTTTGGGGTTTTAGGGTTTAGGTTTTTAGGGAATTGTTTTAAGGGTTTTCAGGTTGTTGTGGTTGGGGCCTCAAGGTGTTAATCCTATAGGGTCTAGGGTTTTAGGGCTTTAAGGCTTTTTTGGGTTTTGCGCTTTTAGGGTTTAGGGTTTTGGCATGTAGGGCTTTAGAGTTTTAAGGCTTTAGAGGCTTTATGGTTGTTTGGCCTTTAAGAGCTTATTCGGGGATTCACGCTTTCATGCTTTAGGCATATAGGGTTTAGGATTCGCTTGTGAGGCGCATATGTGGGGAATTGCGCTGCCCATCAACGACTACAAGACAGATTTGAAGCAGAGGGCCCCAGATAGGGCGTAGGGAATTTAGGGTTCAGGGTGTAGGGTTTTAGGGTTCTATCAGTCTATGAGGTGGATTTGGCGTTCTTGAGGGGTGGGGTATTTAGGTGTTTTCTGGAAGGGGGGGGGGGGGTTCAGGAATTCAGGGGGTCTGGGGTTCAGGGTTCAGGGATTATGGATTCGGAATTCGGACCTTCTGCTTCAAGCCAGAACCTACAAGCTTACCCTAAACTTAAACCCGGAAAATAGCAAATGGTCGTAAACTGGTCCTACACCTCAAGCCCTTAACTTCAACACCGAGAAACAATCCCTCGGGAGTTCTACCCCAAGACACCCCACTCGCCCGGAAACCCTCGAAGCCCTCCTCCTTCACAGCACTAAACCCTCAACCCTAAAACCCTAAATCCCAATTAAACCCTAAGCCCTAAACCCTAAGCCCTAAACCCTAGCCCTCAACCCTAAACCCTAAAACCCTAAAACCCTAAAACCCTAAAACCCTAAAACCCTAAAACCCTAAAACCCTAAAACCCTAAAACCCTAAAAACCCTAAAACCCTAAAACCCTAAAACCCTAAACCCTAACCCCCCCCCCCCCCCCCCCCCTCATCCTCAACAGCCCTGAGGAGTGTTCTGGATCGCTCCATCCCACTCATCCAGGCGATGGTCGACATTGCAGCCGAGGAGGCGCCACGTCTTCGGGCGAGTCTTTTGAGGTTGTGTTTTTTTTTTTTTGTTCGGGTTTGGGGTTTAATTTAGGGTTTAGGGTTTAGGGTTTGGGGTTCAGGGTTTAGGGTTTCGGGATTCGGGTGAGTCGCTTTAGGGTCTTTTCGGGTTTAAGGTGTTTATGCTTTCGGGTTCGTCGTTTGGGGGTTTGTCGGGTTTCGGGTTCAGTGTTTCGGGGGAAGGGTTTAGGGCTTACGGTTCATCGTAGCCCGTACAGGCCTGTCTGCTCCCAGAAGTATACGTGGGACATTGAAGCTCCCTTTGGGGCTGCCACGACAGTGCTGGCAGTGGAACTCCTTCCACCTTGAGCCGAGGGCGCTGCTGTCGATGCTGTCACGGGCGCGGCGATTTCTCTACATCCCGAGGTTTGTCGGACACTGCAACAGCAATCTCCCGGGGCGCCGTGAAGTTGCTCGTGTCTTCAAGTGGGAAGAGCGAGGACTCTTCAGAACCTGTTTTGACAAGCATGGTTAACTCTTTTTCTCCAAGCGGCGGAGTGGGTTCTTGGGGTTTAGGGTTTAGGGCTTAGGGTTCAGGGTGTAGGGTTAGGGTTTAGGGTTTACGGTTTACGGTTTAGGGTTTTAACTCTTGTACTACTACTCACACCTTGACTACCCCCTCTCCCCCGCCTCACCCAGTATCCATGCACGGATTGTAGGGCTTCTATTTGCTTGAATGTCCGGCAACCCTAGCCCCTATAGGGTTACCCTAAACCCTAAACCCTAAACCCTCAACCTTAAACCCTCAACCCTAAACCCTAAACCCTAAACATAAGCCGCCCTGAACCCCCAATTCCCAGAATGCTAAAACCCCCCGAAACCCTCGACCTCAACTGGAGGCCCAGCTGCGTTCCACGCTGAATCTCATCCTCCTGCTGCAGTGCTTGCACCAGGCTCCCTCGCTAGGGTTCAGGGTCTAGGGTCTAGGGTCTAGGGTCTAGGGTCTAGGGTTTAGGGTTTAGGGTTTAGGGTTTAGGGTTTAGGGTTTAGGGTTTAGGGTTTAGGGTTTAGGGTTTAGGGTTTAGGGTCTTCAATGGCTTGCTTGAAAGGGCTTGCTAGGATCTTCGGGTGGGTCGGCGTTTGGGGTCACTCCTCTGAGGTTCGTTCATTCGTAGTTTTGCCTGCAGGTAACGGCTCGGGTAGGGGTAGAATCAGAACTTCTTGTGGCAGTTTGATTCTTGGGCTCTTACAGGCACTTGGAGTCGCACATGGACTAAGACCCTGTGCCCTGCAGTAAACGCTGAGTTCAAGATTGCCAAACGCTTCTCATAACTCGAAGGGCCCCTAAACGCTGTAGGTTCTTTAGAGATGCAGGTTCCTGGGGGCATCCAGAATGTTTGAGGGTACACAAACCCTAAACCCTAAACCCTAAACCCTAAACCCTGTGTTTCTTTTCATGTAGTAGGAGTTTGGGGCTTCAGCAAGTCAGCTGTCAGCCCCAACCTTGAAAGCCTTAAACCCAAAGCCTAAACCAAAACACTTGCTTAGGGTACAGGGTTTAGGGTTCAGGGTTTAGGGTTTAGGGTTTAGGGTTTAGGGTTTAGGGTTTAGGGTTTAGGGTTTAGGGTTCTTCCAATGGTCTAAGGCCTAAGGCTTAAACCTCACAAGCCTATCTCTTAGTCAAGGGACCACAAGCCCAAAACAACCAAAGATCCCCATAAGCCCTATAAACCCTCAACCCCTTGTGCTTCCAGGCCCATCAGCCGTGGCGGACGTCCCTGGCCACGCTGCCGCATCTGCCGCTGCCCCGACAGGGATGAACAGAGCAGGGTTTAGGATTTAGGGCTTGCAAGGGTAGAAGGGCTAAACACTTAGAAGGGTCGAGGGTTCAAGGGTCGAAGGCTAAGGAGGGTCCATGGGCAAGAGCTTTCAGAATTTTTTCTGGGAGGGTCCCGGTTAGGTTGGTTCGGGGCGCTCACGGCCTGCGAACTAGGGACCCTAAACCGCATACGTCATCCCCCCCTGAACCTCCGGCAAAACCAAGCACGGCGGTCAGCTGAACCTGGTGTTCAGGGTTGAGGGGTTTGTCCTGGCTCTTGCGGTCACTTCTGCCGCAGTTTCATGCCCAGCGCACCCCGCACATGTGTTGTGTAGTAGGGTTTTGCTCCCAGGGACTCGAACATCAAAAGAGTGTTCAAAGACAGCCACAGGGTTTGGGGGGGGGGGGGGGGGGGGGGGCGGGCCAAACCCTAGACCCTAAAGCCTAAACCCTCAGCCCTAAACCCTAAACCCTAAACCCCTAAACCCTAAAGCCTAAACCCTAAGCCCTAAACCCTAAACCCCTAAACCCGGGGCAAACAGGGCCAAGAGCAGGTCGGAGAAGTCGCTGAAGGTGCTGCGGGACTACTCCGTCGATTCCCTTCCGGTGCCCCGGCAAAGGTTACCCTAAACCCTAAACCCTACACCATATACCCTAAACCCTAAGCCCTAAACCCGAAACCCTTAGCCCAAAAGGATTGAAATACAGGTTTCGGGGTTTGGGGCTCAAGGGCAATGACGGGGGTGTGAAAGGAAATGAGGCAAGCGTGAACAGCATTCATTCTTCTTGGGGTCGCTGCGGTTTAGGGTTTAGGGTTTAGGGTTTAGGATTTAGGGTTTAGGGTTTAGGGTTTAGGGTTTAGGGTTTAGGGTTTAGGGTTTACGGTTTGCGGAATTCCGATGGCCCCTTCGGAAACTGGACAAGCCAGACATGGTAACTCGAGTTCTGTCTGGCTATTCCTTCATGAAAAGGTTTTTGCAAACCTTTTTCAACGCAACACCCTTGCAACTTTTTCCATCACTTCGGGCTTAGGGCTTAGGGGAGTTCAGGGTGCCGGGCGTGAGGCCCGGTCACTCACGAAGAGCCCGAAATGACGGGTTTGGATCTTTAGGGCTTAGGGTTTGGGGCTTCGGGTTTAGGGTTTCGGCTTAAGGGCTTAGGGTTTAGGGTTTAGGGCCAGGGTTTATCCTTTATATTCATTCAAGGAGCTCATCGAGCGCCGGGATGCCAACAAGGTGCAGCGCGTACCCGGGGTTTAGGGTTTAGGGCTTTGGGCTTAGGGCTTAGGGTTTAGGGTTTAGGGTTTATGGTGGTTATAGGGTTTCGGGTTCGGGGTTCGGGGCTTAGGTGGTAGGGGTTTTACTCAAGAAGTAAGCGGGGGGGGGAGGCCTGCGGCAGTGAGGCTAGGGCTTTCTACCCATAAGCTTGAAATCTTGAGGGGTAGGGGAGATTGTGCCATCCCAAAGGCTGAGAATTCCGAGGGAAGTATGACTGGAACCACAACTCAGCCAAAAATGCATGTTAGAAAATTTATAAATCCCAAATCCTCTAAAACCCCGAAAGCCCTAGGGGTGGTTACACGGTCCCGCAATATGGTCGCTTACCTTCTGATAGGCCTTGCACGGGGTCTATGCGGGGTCCCCTTTTTGAGGGCCTAAATTCAGGGACCATGTAGCTACCCTCAGCAAGGCCTCCTCTAGCCCCAAACGGCAAAACAAGGAACAACAAAGAGCCTACACCCTAAACCCTGAGCCCTAAACCCGAAACCCTAGACCCTAAACCCTATAAACCCCAATCCCAAACCCCTACCCCGACCTAAGCTCTAAGTAACCCGAAACCTTTAAACAAAGAGCCTGTTCCCCCTAACCCTAAACCCTAAATTCTAAACCCTAAACCCTAAACTGAAACCCTTAACCCTTATAAACCCTAAACAAAGAGCCTTTTCCCTTGCTCTCGGCAGCTCCTGACGAAGCTGTCGCTACCAAGCGCCGAAGCGCACAAGGTGCCGAGCTTGGTCGATTTAGTGGTTTGGGGGTTTAGGGTTTAGGGTTTAGGGTTTAGGGTTTAGGGTTTAGGGTTTAGGGTTTAGGGTTTAGGGTTTAGTTTTTAGGGTTTAGGGTTTAGGGTTTAGGGCTGTAGGGTTCAGGGTTTAGGAGTTGGGGTTTAGGGGTTTAGGGGGTTTAGGGGTTACTGTTTAGGGTTTAGAGGTTCAGGGTTTAGGGGTTTAGGAGTTGGGAGTTGGAGTGTAGAGGCTTAGGGGGGTGTAGGGGTTTAGGGGTTTAGGAGTTTAGGGGTTTAGGGGTTTAGGGGTTTAGGGGTTTAGGGGTTTAGGAGTTTAGGGGTTTAGGGGTTTAGGGGTTTAGGGGTTTAGGGGTTTAGGGGTTTAGGGGTTTAGGGGTTTAGGCGTTTGGATGTTTAAGGTTTAGGGTTTAGGGTTTTAGGGGTTGGGGTTCAGGAGCTGGGATTTAGGGTTTAGAGGTTTAGGGGTTTCGGGGTTTGGGGTTAGTTGTCTAGGGTTCAGGGTTTAGGGGTTTTAGGGGTTTTAGGGGTTTTAGGGGCTTTAGGGGCTTTAGGGGTTTTAGGGGTTTTAGGGGTTTTAGGGGTTTTACGGGTTTTAGGGGTTTTAGGGGTTTTAGGGGTTTGAGGGGTTTGAGGGGTTTGAGGGGTTTAGGGGTTCAGGGGTTCAGGGGTTTAGGGTTGAGGGATTTAGGGGTTTAGGGTTCACATGCAGAGAAGTTTTGTGAGGAGCTCCTGCAGATTGTCCAGGACATGCCGAGGCCTGGATTGCAGTTGTAGCGGGGAGGTAGAGGAGCCTAGGTTTGTTGCGCCGTTTTTGTTTTATGGCTTTAGGGTTTCGGGTTGAGGGTGTAGGGTTTAGGGCTCGGGCGGGGAGCGGGGGAGAGGGGGGGGGAGGGGTTAGGATTTGGGCCTTTGGGCTTTTGGGTTTGGGGTCATCAGGGGCCTCGTTTGCTGGCATGCAGGTCTTCGTAGGATATCTGTGGGAGAAATGTGGCGTAGGGTCCTGGTGGCCAGGATGCAACCTCAAGCCCAGGAAAGATGGAGGAACATCTCTTGTTGCAAAACTACCGTCCTTGCTCTGTAGCTAGGACACAAACCCTAAGGACCTAAACCCCGAGACCTTCAACCCCTAGCCCCCAAGCTTCCGAGTCCCCAGAAGCTTGCACCGCAGCTGCGTTTTCGGGTTTTTGGGGTTACCAAGCATCAGCACAAGAACCCATCATCCGAACTCCTAACCCTAAAGTTTAAGATCCCTGGCAGGCTGCGGATGCGCGTGGAGCTTCGCGTCTTGGATCCTGAGGACTAAAGGGTTTACTGGGTCTTGGAGTACTATACTTTAATACTTTTTTTGGTTCTGGGTTCCTATTATAGCTACTTATACCTAAAAAGTATATACTTTTTTTCCAGGGTCTACTCAAAAGCTAAGTTTAGGTTTTTTCGGAGTTCTGGGATTCAGGGTCTCGGGTTTAGGGGTTATAGGGGATGAAGGGTCTTGGGGCTTAGAGCTTCTCTCCTTTTGGCTGCCATGGGCTCTGCCCACCTGGATAAGGGTTTGGGGGTTAGGGTTTAGGGGTTAGGGTTTAGGGTTTAGGGCTTAGGGTTTAGGGTTTAGGGTTCTAGGTTCTCGGGCTCGTCTAGGCCGCCCTGACGAGCGCAAACCTCAAGACCGGAGGGGGTAGAGTGTTCAGGGGGAGTCTAGGGTTTTAACTAAACCCTAAACCCTAAACCCTAAACCCTAACCCTAAACCCTAGACCCCAAAAAAACCTTAAGCCCAATGCGCCCTAAATGCCCTAAGGCACGCCCAAGCAAAAGCCCACAATCCTGGGTCAGGACGAAAGCAAGCCCCCGGAGGATGAAGAGGAGGGCAAGGCCCACTCCCAGCTAAGGGTTTAGGGTTTAGGGTTTAGGGTTTAGGGTTTAGGGTTTAGGGTTTAGGGTTTAGGGTTTAGGGTTTAGGGTTTAGGGTTTACCACCCCCCTCTATTCTACACCCCCTAGGTTCCCCCACATAAATACGCTGAATTAGGCTCAATTCTGCCTAACTAGCCTTGATTGTGAGGTGAGGGGCGGGGGGAGGGTAGTAGGGGAACCCATGAAGGTTCAGGGTTTCAGATTCAGGCTTTAGGGTTTACGGAGTTGTTTTCCGTTTAGGCCCAGGGTCTCTGGTTTATGTAGAGGTTGTCGCATGCAGGGCTCAGGACCTAGAGCAAAGAATGGAGATACCCTGTAAGACCTTCGGATCTCGGTACCTTGTTTTCATTGTCTATGGTCAACTGCCCGTGCTTGTTTTTGACCTTCTTGGGAGATCAAAAGTTAGTTGGATCTCCGGTTGACTTGAGTTCAATGTTTTACGACCGCCCAGCATGTTTGTAAGTGAGAAACCTTCTGTACGCCTTCTTCAAGGCGTACAGAAGGTTTCTCTAGGAAGGCCAACAAAGGAATCTTGTAGACACCGCCCCGGCCAGCTTGTCGTGGTTGCGAAGTGACCCTCCCCTCTAGGGCACAAAGGCTCAGGGAAGCTCGGAAAGCTGGACCCCAAACCCGAAACCCTAAACCCTAAACCCCAAACCCTAAACCCTAAACCCTAATCCCTACACAAGTTAAGTTCTTTGGAGTACCAGGTGCCGGGTGAACTGGGCCGCTAGAGCCTTGAAAGCCTGTAAAGTTTCCAAGCTTCGTGCTAAACCGTTGAAGTCTGCAAAAGCCAAAACCCAAATCCCTGCAACTCCACAACGCTGAGCTGCTTAGGGTTCAGGGTTAAGTGCAAAGGGTTTAGGGTTTACAGTGCCAGCCTTAAGTCCCAACGTTCCCTTCCCACAGGACGGAAAGCCAAAACGCCGCAAGGGCAAGCTCGTTGCGGCGCCGTACAAGGCTTCCCCCAAACCTCCGAGCTAGGGCTTTGCAAGGTTGCAGATGTCCAAGGTCGACCCTATATTGTATGTAACCCTGAACCCTTAAACCCTACGTTACTCCCTAAACCCTACACCTGAACCAGAAGCCCTCAGGATTGGTGCAAAACCTAAACACCCAACCTACTCAAGACTCTCTGGCCGGAGCCAAAAGATCTCTGCCCAAACTGTGCCTTGCTAAACCCTAAGAGGTTAGGGTGTAGGGTTTAGGGTTAGGGTTCAGGGCATATAGGGTTAAAGGGGTTCCCTGACCCTACAAACCCCAAAGCCCCGTATAGAAGCCGGCTTTCTTCACTTTAGGGTGAATAGTATATATCATAATTTGCTCACACGCAAAAAATCACCCTGAGTGAGCTATACAAAAGAGCAAAGCTCTAGAATCCGTTTCTCCCCCGGATTTCTGAAGCTCACTTAAACCCTAAACCCTAAACCCTAAGCCCTCTTTTCCGGATTCACTTAAAGACAGCTACCCGCATGAAGCTGGGCAGGTGCCCCCGGACAGCGAGCTCGAACTCACAGTCATCTTATGCCTCCAATCTGAAGCAGTTCTTAGCTTTGGGGCTTTTCGGGTTTAGGGTATGTGGGTTTAGGGTGTAGGGTTTAGGGTTTAGGGTTTCGGTGCTTAGCACGCTACACGGCTTTAGGTCTTGTGGTTTAGGGATTTAGGACTTCGGGAAGGGGGGGGGGGTGGGTCATGACGGGTGGGGCAACTCGGGGAGGATCCTTTTGGGGTTTCAGGGCCTTTTTTTTGGTTTTTTCAGTGTTGTGTTTTCATGTTTTTTGTTTGGGTTTTGGGTGCTTCTTTAAGTTTCAAGGATTCGTAGGGTTTTGGGGCTATCGTCTCTGTTTCTGTTTTTTGAGAGAGAGAGGGTTTGTGGTTTTTAGTGTTCTTAGGACTCATGATGTTGTACTGTTTTGGGCCGGTTGTTGGAGGTGTTTCGGCTTTAGCTTAGGGTTCACGATTTACTCAGTGAGGGTATTTCAGGTTTCTGGTTTCTAGAGTTTAGGGTTTCTTGGGTGGTTTAGTTGAATGATGCAGCAAGGGCTTGGAAACTTATGCCTATCGGGTTCTTAATGGAGGGGGGGGGGGTTGTAACCCTATATAGGTTCCTGAATTACTCCCCACAACTCCCTAAGGCTCCCGAAGGTCCCCCAGGTACCTACCCCCATGAACCCCCCCTAACGCTAACCCGAAACCCGAAACCCAAAGCCCTAAACCCTAAACACCCCCTCTGAGCCCCTCTCCCTTAAGAACCCCATCACCTATGCACTCAGGTTATGACAACGAGCCCATGAAGTTCGTCCATGCACCGAGGTCATCGCACTCGCATTTACTGGGATGTACGGCCTGTGTATGGCAACTAAACCCTATAAAGCCTAAAGCCTAAAGCCTAAACCCTAAACCCTAAACCCTGGTGTTTGTGTTGCTGCGACACGAAGCAGTCGCTTGCCCTAGACCCAAAGCGCAGCTGAAGGCGCCATTGCGTAACCTTAACCTTGTTTTCTGGACCCTAAACCCTAAACCCTAAACCCTAAACCCTAAACCCTAAACCCTAAACCCTAAACCCTAAACCCTAAACCCTAAGCCAGAAACCCTAAACATTCACCCTGCCCCCGTTCTCTGGCCCTTTCTTGGCTTTCCCGTGCAGGATCTTGCCTCGGAGAGAAAGTGGGGGGAGGGGGTTTAGGGTTTAGGGTTTAGGGTTCAGGGTTTAGGGTTTAGGGTTTAGGGTTTAGGGTTTCGGGTCCCTCAGCCGACAAAGTTGAGAAGTGGCTCTCAGACAGGATTGCGAAATGGGGGTTTAGGGTTTTAGGGTTGAGGGTTTGGGGTTTAGGGTTTGGGGTTTGGGGTTTAGGGTTCAGGGTAGTAGTAGGATCCCCGTATATTAGGGACCCCAATAAAGCACCCCTAATATCGTTCACTGGTTATGGACACTGGGACAAGCCCCCCAGCCTCTCCGAACCTCAGTCAAAGAGGTCTCTCTCAGCAGGTTGATGAGATGGTTAAGGAACCCCTTTCAACGGCCTATACTAACAAGACATGTAACTACCCCAAACACCCTAGACGCCAGACCCTACACCCTATACCCAAAACCCCCTTTTAAGGGCCCATACTAAGGGACCATGAACCCTAAACCCTGAACCCTAAGCCCTAAACCCTAAACCCTAAACCCTAAACCCTAAACCCTAAACCCTAAACCACTCTTAGACTCTGGAAGACCAAAGGTTTCCCAAGAAGAAGACGTACTCCTGGTGGTGCATCCTGGGCGACACGGAGGCAGGAGGTTTAGGGTTTAGGGTTTAGGGTTTAGGGTTTAGGGTTTAGGGTTTAGGGTTTAGGGTTTAGGGTTTAGGGTTTAGGGTTTAGGGTTTGGGGCTTGGGGTTTGGGGTTTAGGGTTTGGGGTTTGGGTTTGGGGTTTAGGGTTTAAGGTTTAGTTTAGGGTCTAGAGAGGACAATTGAGCTCAGAAGTTTGTTGGCTTCTTAGGCTTTCTAGGGTTTAGAAGTGAGAGGTGTAGGGTTTAGGGCTCCATAAGATTCACTCACCTTTCTGTGGGGTTCAGGGAGTTCAGGGTTTAGGGTTTAGGGTTCAGGGCTTCGTGGTTCGCAACCACAGCGAATTTCTTCGCTTAGGGTTTCGGGTTTAGGGTTTAGGGTTTGGGGTTTGGGGTTTGGGGTTTGGGGCTTGGGGTTTAGGCCCTTTTTTGTCTACCCATGAACCGTCACACAAGCAACAGCCCCAAGTACAAATGGCATAGGGTGGGTGTGACTGTAGTATAGTGTTGAGGGTTTAGGCGTACCCCAATGTTTGTTTGCGAGGTTACATGAGGCGTGCTCCCCGAGTAGTTTTTGTGTATTCCACGACAATAATCGGAGCTCTTTACATCTCGTGCCGCACTGACAAGCGCATGGGGCATTCACGGAGAGATGGCCGACGCATGCGCTTCTTCCGATTCTGGCTGAACCCTAAACCGACTTCCTAAACCATAAAGAGCGGCGCCGCCGCCCAGAGACTTGTCGGATGAAGGTCTGGGTTTTTAGGGTTTTTAGGTTTTCAGTGTTGTTGGCTGGTATTTAGGGTGTTCAGGGTTTTCAGGGTTTTTTGGGTTTTTTGGGGGGTTTGGCCCGACAGACTTCCGCCCTCTCCGCTCCACCGCAGCCCGTGAGGTCGACGAGCTGGTGTCGATCAAGAAGGCACTCATGCCAACCAGGCCACCGAGCTGCGGAGGGTTTAGCGAGGGACAAAAGGGGGAGTTTTTTTAAAGGGAAGGGTTTTAGGGTTTTAGGGGTTAAAGTTTAGGGTTGAGGGTTGAGGGTTTAGGGTTCAGGGCTCAGGGTTCAGGGTTTAGTGTGGGGGGTTTAGCGCAAAGACTTACAGGAGGAAGCCTTATAAGGGACCTTAGGGATTATTCTATGGGCAACGTAGGTATATAGAGACTATATGAGGTATGGTGGTTTTGTATGGGTTATATACTTAGGTATATAGAGACGGTATGAGGTATACAATAGGGGTTATATAGGGGTTATGCAGGGGTTGTATAGGGGTTACATAGCCTTTACCCTTCCCTTTTTTGGTTGAAGGTTCCTTTCTAAAGTAACCAACCCCAAAAGAGACTATATGATGGTTGGGCTACCAAGTTTAGGATTTGGGGCTTATGTAGGGTTTCGGAGATGCGGTTCAGGTTTTGGGTTTCAGGGTTTGGGATGCAGGGTTCAAGGTTTGGGGCCTTTAGAGGTTTAGGGCTCAGGGTTTCGGATGTAGGGTTCAGGGTTTAGGGTTTAGGATTTAGGGTACAGGGTTTGGGATGTAGGGTTCAGGGTTTTGGGAAGTAGAGTTCAGAGTTTAGCGTCTAGGGTCTGGGGTTCAGGATCTAGGGTTTTAAGGCTCAGGGTTCGGTGGTTCTAGGTTCAGGGTCACCGTCGTGGACGGGACGCGAAAGGCGAGTGCGCAGGAAGACCTAGAAGGCAGCTTCACGTGGCGCGGCAACTTTTGGCGAGACTTTCGGAGTGCAGGCCAAATGGGAAAGCTACCCTTTGCAGGACAGACTCCAGCGGCAGGATAAGGTGATGCAGGACCAGGCCAAGATGATTTCCGCAGCCTCCCCTGCAAGTTTAGGGTTGTAGGGTTTAGGGCTATCTAGCTTCCACCTTGGGGTTCATGGGTAGTATTCATTCGCTGCATCTGCGCGTGCAACATGATTTGGGGATCCTAAACCGCAAACCCTACTCCCTGAACCCTAACCCCAAGCCCCCCAAACCCTCAACCCTACTTGTCAGGAAGACCGATGTAGGCACCAGCAACTTTCAAGTAGACCCTCAACCCCAAAATTTAGGGTTCTTAAGCGATGTGGGTTCATGGGGGTAGGTACCTAGGGAACCCTAGGGAAGCTTAGTTGGGGTCTTATGGAATCTTGAGTTACATACCCCCCTTGAACCCCCCTCCCTAAAGGACCCTATAATAAACCGATCTACACACCTCAGCCCAAACCATTGTGGGTTCAGGGTTTAGCAAACAACAACCCACAACCCGAGACACTAGAGCCCGGTTTAGGGTTTAGGGTTTAGGGCTCAGGGTTTAGGGCTTTGGGTCTAGGACCCTGCCATAAATCCTAAACACCCCGCCAACCTTAAGCTCGAACCAAAACAGTCTACACCAGCAACCCCCCACGTCTGCTTAGCCCTAAACCCTAAACCTTAAACCCTAAACCCTAAATTCTAAACCCTAAACCCTAAACCCTAAACCCTAAACAGCAGGCAGAGGTTCGAGAAACGGATCAGCTTCCAGTTCTGCTCTCCAGCGGATGAGATCGGTGAGACCTTCACTTTGTCTGTGCTGTGCCACTGGGTTTGCAAGCCCTGAGTATCCCTGTACCTTATCTTGTGCAGGGTTTAGGGTTTAGGGTTTAGGGTTTAGGGTTTAGGGTTTAGGGTTTAGGGCTCAGGGTTTAGGGTCCACTGGCCCGCAAAAGCCAAGTCCTTAAAGGCGAGTAGCGGAAGGGTCGAGGATTTATTAGGGTTTACCTGGGCCACACCTATACGGGACCAAGTTTCAGGCCAATAAGGGCAATCTCAAGGTCTCATGGCGCGGTTTGTTTTTGTTTTGCCGCCGGCTGTGGGTGTAGGGCCGGGTTTAGGGCTTAGGGTTTAGGATTCAGGGTTTAGGGTTTAGGATTTAGGGTTTAGGGTATTTTCTCATCCTGAGAGTGGGTTTCTTAATGAGGCTGCTACAGCACAAACCCTTAGCCAGGTGCCAAGGCTTTGGTCGGGAGCCTTCCTGAAGAATTCTGGAGGAGAGCAAAACCCTAAACTCTAAACCCTACACCCTAAACCCTAAACCCTAAACCCTAAACCCTCCTTGTCAGTGTCCACTGTTAGCCTTTAATAGCTCAAAACCTATTGCCTTGTAGGCTCTCACGATCAAAGCCCCAAAAAATATAGGTTTGGGATTCTGAATTGGGATGTTCTTCCCCTTTATTATACTAACAGTCCTACCCTAAACCGTAAACGCTAAACCCTAAACCCTAAACCCTAAACCCTAAACCCTAAACCCTAAACCCTAAACCCTAAACCCTAAACCCTAAACCCTAAACCCTAAACCCTAAACCCTAAACCCTAAACCCTAGCCCTAAACCCTAAACCCTAACCCGAAACATCCCCCTCAGGTATGTCGGACTCCTTCTTCGGACTGGACCAACAGCTGGACCTTTCCATTACGACCGTGGAGCCTCACGGTGACTGACAGGTGAGCTCTCAACCCCTAAAGCCTAAACCCTAAGCCCTAACCCTAAACCCTAAACCCTAAACCCTAAACCCTAAACCCTAAACCCTAAACCCTAAACCCTAAACCCTGAACAACTGCAGCGGGCCCCTCTCCGAAGTGTTTGCCATGTTTTTTAAAGTCTTAAGTTTAGGAAATTCGGGGTTTAGTGCTTAAGGTTTAGGGTTTAAGGTTTATTGCTGAGGGTTAGGGGATTTCGGGGTTTACGGCTTTAAGTTTCTCGGGCTGTCTGTTTTTTTGTGCATGTGGGGTCTTAGGGTTTTAGGGCTTCACGACATTATGGGTTTATTGCACTGGGGTTCTGCAGAAATATACCCCTCCAACACATTACAACCCTTCTGGGACACCCTTCCCCCCAAGTATTCCCAACCTTACGCGTACTTCTGTGATTTTGCCCCTCGCCCTAGTTTAGGCTTTATTTGTTGGATGGGGAGCAACATGATTTCCGCTAAGCCCCCTCTTAGCTCACCTGTCCGATCTAGTTTTCAGGTGGCATCGCCTATTTGGCCTGGTCCGATGTGTGTCTGCAACACTGCCTTCAGGAAACGCAGTCTTGTACTGGTAGAGTTTAGGGTCTTTTGTGTCCCTAAACTCCAACCTTGACTGGGGATTGCGCCCAGCTTGCCCCATCCGCAAAAAGGCTATTTGCTCGATGCTGTATTATGTACACCGTTATCTGTGTGTGTATATATATTTATCTATGTATTGATTTATTTATGTATATCAATATGTGTACACCAAAGTCTGTTCATACTTCCTGACCACTGTAAGTTACCTGCACATCGGAAATGAGTTGGTAGACGTCCCTACGCCCTGCATCGAAGAGTTCGACACCAGACATCTCCATGGCGAGCTTAAACCCTAAAGCCTAGCCCTCAACCCTAAACCCTAAACCCTAAACCCTAAACCCTAAACCCTAAACCCCCCATGCGTCTTTACATAGCTGACAAGTGTTGGAGCTAAGCTCCCATGAACACCACGTGGAGTGCCGCGGATGAACACGCGGCCTTGGCATACTTGTTTCGCAAAACTCGTTTAAACCCTAAGGGTTGGAATTCAGGGATGTTTAGGGTCTAAAGGCCTTAGACCCTAAACCCCAGCACTAAACCCTGAACCCTAAACCCTCGACCCGCCGGGCAGACACACATCTTGATCCAGCTGCCTAAAGTGTACAGTCTCCGCCGGACAGCAAAGGTTGCACAGCACTTCATGCTCAGGGCATTTTTTAGGGCTTCGCTATTATTAGTATCATTATTGTCATTTCTGTGTTTGTTATTTTGTATTTGTTGTTTTTTGTTTGTTTGTTTGTTTGTTTGTTTGTTTGTTTCTTTCTGAGAAAATACACACTTCCCGAGTCCTCCAGACTTGATGTGCAGACAGCATGACCAACTTCGGTTGGCTCAAGGATCAAGACTTGATGCCTGTGCGAAAACATACTTGCAGCTTCGGATATCTCACTTGTGTTGTTGAGCTCAGTGACCTCAGTTACTTTTTCATGGTAGCGGAGCTGAAAGCTCCAGTAGAACTTTGGTAGAGCCCAAATGTCACTTGAAGGAGAGAACGACTTCACCGGTAAGCTTAGGCTACCGTTGCCACCGACTTTCTCAGGTAAACCTGCGGAATGGGAAGAATGGTCGTGGAAGTTTCGCGCGTACTTGTCGATGTTTGATGCACAGGCTGCAAGGTACTTGGAACAGCACGAGAATGATGAGGCACCGCTCACGGATGAGGCACTTGAGGTGCACGTGCTTACAGAAGAAGGTGTTGCAGCACTTGATCAGACCGCGACGGCAGGTAGAGTCACTTTCAGTCGGAAGTTGCATTATCTGCTTGCGAACTTGACGTCAGAGTCGGCATTGCTTGTGGTTCGTCAGAACTACGACTCGAATGGGTTTGAGACTTGGCGTCGACTTGTCAAGAAGTTTGCGTTGCCAGATGCTGCGAGGCATGTTTCACTTCTGACGCAGTTGCTTGACTTTCGGTTTGGGTCGCATACGTTCGAGCAGGATTTCAACACTTGGGAGACGATCAAGACAAAGTATGAGCGACAGACCGGTGCTGACTTGCCTGACAGCGTGCTTGTCGCTACGTTGTTGAATAAGACTTCCGGTGCGCTCCAGCAGCACTTGAGGTTGAATGCTCGGACCTTGACGACTTACGAAGACATCAAAGCCACGATAGTCGAGTACTATCAGTCCAGGCACTTGATCATGAGCAACTCGTCTTCGTCGAATCAAGGCCCAGCACCAATGGACATTGGAGGACTTAAAGGAAAGAAAGGCTTCGGCAAAAGTGGCTTCGGCTACTTGAAAGGAAAAGGAAAAGGAAAGAGCAAGAGCAAAGGAAAGAACCCACACTTGAGTTTTCACACTGCACAGAAAGGAAAAGGAAAAGGAAAGGACTCTGGAGGAAGCAAAGGAAAAGGAAAAGGCAAGAGCAAAGGAAAACTTCGTGGTCAGCATGCTTTGGCTTGTTGGACTTGTGGCAAACCAGGACATGTTTCGGCAAATTGTCCACTTGGTCGTGTGAGTGCGGTTGATGAGAATGCCACTTTGGATGGCTCGTTTGAAGATTGGTCAGTCGATGACACTTGGCAAGTTGGTGACTTTGAGGAAGAATGGTGGAGCGATGACTTAGTCGCAGCGGTAGGACTTGGTTGGAGTGATGAGGAATGGTGGCCTGCATGGGACGATGGTTGGTCGTCCACTTGGAGTGATTGGAACGACGACACTTGGAGTGTCGTGTCGCCACCACCTGCTGTTGAGAAGGCTACTTCAGCCCCGCCATCGCATGCTGCGGAGCCGAAGGCAACTTCGGGTGCCCCAGTGAGTGCTGTCACTTTGGGAACGCCGCCTGCGAGACTTTCCTCCGCGGCGAAGCCCAAGGCGACACCCAAGGCTACTTCGAAGGCCTCTGGACTTGCCATTGCGGCAATTACACTTGGGAGCATGTTTGCTGGTACGCAGTCGTGTTTCGTTTCGCCAACTTGTGATGCATCGCTTGATTGCATGTTGAGTGGAAGCATTGTGTTTGATGGCTTTGGTCGCTCACTTGGTGCACGAAGTGATGTGGCCACTTGGCAGTTGTCCCCTGTGTGCGACTTGCCGTTGAAGAATGAAGCGAATCAAACTTCGCTCTCGAATCCGACTTCGTTGTCCGATTGGGGTTTGGAGCACTTGAGTTCCACCTTCTATGACCCCTACTTGGCCGAGCATGAGGTTGCTGTTGCATCAGTTGAGACAGGACTTGAGACTTGGATCCTGTTTGATTCCGGTGCTGCAGCAAATTGCTGTCCCCCGGACTTTGCTCCGGACTTCCCGTTGTTGAAACTTGAAGAACGAGCACCTCCGCTTAAGAGCATTTCAGGCCAGACTTTGCAGATCTATGGTCGAAAGCTTGTTGCCTTTGAGTTGGATGGTCAGCGACTTTGGTTGAACTTTTATGTGTGCGATGTACCGTACAGTGTGATTTCAGTCGCTAGACTTTTGCAGCAAGGATGCAAGGCAGTGTTGACATCTGAGGGATCTCAGCTTGAAGGTCCCACGGGTGCAACTTTTCCTGTCACAAGACATGGTTCACTTCTGTTCTTGTGTCCGACGCTTGCTGAATTTGATCCGAATGAGTATGCAGACTTCAGCAAAGGATTCCATGAACAGTTCGCAGTGAGACCTCCTCCTGGACTTGTTGCGCCGACCCTTAAGCCCACGTACTACCACGCGGACAGTTGGGTACTTGATGAGGCCAACGCAACCTTGACGAGGCTTCACAAGCGTGGTCGAGCAACTTTGTTTTCTCCCGAAGGAACCAAGGATCGGCCGGTTGAGTTGAAAGACTTGACAGGTGAACGTGTGACAGTCATGAACTTTGAAGATGGTTCGTCTAAAACCTTGAATGATGATTGGCGAAAAAGTGATGATCCCCGAGCAAAGCAGGATAAGTACTTCAAGGGCAAAACCGTCTTCAAACTTGCTTCGAAACCAACAGGTAGGAGACTTGTAGGCAAGCAGTCAACTTTGCCCCGTCCTGAAGTTCATGTTGAAATGCCACCGCCTGTCCCAAGTTCTAGGACTTCAACCCAGAAACTTAGTCCAGAAGTTGTCCTGCGAGATCATGGTGAATATGCTGATACTTTCCGAAAGCGAGTGTTTGACTTGGTGGCGGATGAAGCAGTTGATCCCATGAAAGGTCTTGAGAACTTTGTGAAGAGATCACTTGATGATGTGGATCCACAGACCAATGAGGCCTACACCCACGACACTTGGGTGCAGTTGCCAACCATGTGGATTAGACTTCACCGTCAGCCACGAAAGAACTTGTTCGTGCCTTCAGAGCGTTCCGAAGGCGGTCCGAACTTGAGCGAGTTAAGCAAAGCACGGGTTACAATACAACTTGACGATCATGGGAGCATGAAGGTTGATGAAGACGATTGGACACTTGAAGGTGCAGATCGTGACGTTGTTGAACCCTTTGCTTGTGGTGGTGCGACTTGCTTTGAGAAGCGTGACTTGTATGTCAAGGAGATTCCCGAGGTGGCCGAACCTGACTTGTTTGAGACATCGGCCCGGCGACCGAGAGGACTTCCTGCGCCCTCGGAGCCGACGCTCACGGAGCGTAAAGAGCATGAACTTACGCACCTGCCTTTTCGTTCTTGGTGCCCGATTTGCGTCCGTGCAAAGAGCAAACAGAACCACAGCAGGACTTTGAAAACGAAGCAGCCGGTCGTTCAACTTGACTACTGCTTCCTTGGAGATAATCCTGAAGAGCCCCAGGTTACTCTCCTCACCGCTGTGGACTTGCTGTCGGGCATGGGACTTTCGTGCGTTGTTCCAGCCAAAGGCCGCTCTGTCTATGCTCAGGCAGAACTTCGGAGATACATCCTTGAAATCGGGCGCACTTTTGGCATCTTGCAAATCGACCCCGAACCCTCACTTAAGGCTTTGGTTGCTGAGTTCACTTCGGAGGTAGGCGGACTTTCGGTTCGTCATTCCCCAACAGGTTGGAAGCAAGCCCAAGGAGCAGTTGGAGTGCTTCAGTCTAACTTGTATGCCCAAATACGCACCCTCAAGCTTGACTTAGAGGGAAGGTATTCTGGGTTCACCTTGCAGAAAACCCATCCGTTGTTCACTTGGCTTGTAAAGCATGCGCAGTGGTTGATGAACCGATATGCTCACAAAAGTGACGGACTTACTTCCTTCGAGAAGCGCTGGGGAAAGCCGTATAACGGCGCACTTTGTCGATTTGCGGAGGTTGTTCACTTTCGCAAAATTGGCAAATTTCCCAAATCGGACGCGGCTTGGGAAGAAGGACTTTGGCTCGGAAGAGACACAGAGTCCAACCAGCACTTCGTTGGGACACCCCAGGGTGTGATAAAGATCCGTTCACTTCGGCGTAGACCGCCGTCTGAGCAGCTCGACTTGGCACTTGTGCAGTCCCTGAAGGCAACGCCCTGGGACCCTAGAGGCACAAAAGTTGAGACAGATCACTTTGTCTTTCCACCGCAGCAGCCGAGACCTGGAGAGAACTTGGTTGAGCCACCAGACGATCCGGATGCCATTCCGGAAAACTTAGGAAATGCTGGTGACCTGGCGCAAGAACTTGAGCAAGACATGTTGCGTGAGCTTCAGTCGACTTCGGAAACCCGCACGGCCGCCGACTTGCCAGTGCCTGAGGGACCGATGGATGCTGAAGAACTTGCAGAGAGGCAGGACAAGCGCAGTCATGAGGAACCTACTTCCTCCGCTGAAAGAGCTTCCTCTGAGCCTGCGACTTCGCGAAGGCGCGTAGGCGTCACGACGGAGCGCAAGCGCGACACTTCAGAGGTCCCTGAAGCAGCGACGAAAGTGCAGCGCATTTCGTCACTTGTCCGCTCGCCTGACCAGCAGATGCGAATTTTCGACTTGAGAATTTCTGCCGTCACCACGAAGCAGGAACTTGAGGTTCCTGTGTGCGTCAACCAAGATGAAACAGAGATCTCACTTGCTGAGCGTTTGAGCAATCCCTTGTTCTGGCAGTCGCCTGAATTCACTTACGAAGAAGAAAAAGCTGGCATGAACAAGGAAATGAAAAGCATGATCGACTTCGACGTCTTCACGGAGCAGAAAATGTCAGACCTGACGCCAGAGCAACTTGCGACTGTAATATCCACAAAGTGGGTTAAAGTTCGCAAAGGCGATGGCACTTGTCGATGTCGACTTGTTGTCCGTGGTTATGACCAGCTCATTGATGATCCGGATGACACTTATGCGTCTACGCCCAGCTTGTTGACGTTGAAGACCTTGTTGACTTTGGCGGTAGCGCGTGGTTGGCACATCACTTTGGCAGACATCTCCACGGCGTTCTTGCATGCGTTGGTGGATGGCGATGTTTGGGTACTTCCTCCTGTAGAGTATTACCCCGAAGGGGGTGTGGTTTGGAAACTTAAGCGTGCGCTTTACGGCTTGAAAAATGCTCCTGCGCTGTGGCAGACCCACTTGGCAGCTACACTTGAGGCGCAAGGTTTCCAGCGCATGAAGAGTGATCCGAACCTTTACTTTCATGCAGGTCGGAAGGTTTATGTGTTGTGCTACGTTGACGACTTGATGTTGTTCGGCGCAAAGAAGGACGTTGATGCCATTGTAGCTTCACTTCAGAAAGAGTTGCTCCTGCGTATAACCGGTGAGCTTATCGAAGGTTCAGAGGCTACTTTCCTTGGCAGAAAGATGCGTCGCACGCCGACTTCCGTTGAGATGTACATGTCCGCGACTTACGTTGAAGGTATGCTTGCTGAGGCTGGGATGTCCACTTGTAAACCGGCTCCGTCTCCTGGCACGGATGCGTTGAAGAAGGTTTCCGAGACTGCGGAAGCACTTAATCCTGAGGAGCATAAACGGTATCGCAAACTTGTCGGTCAGCTCTTGTGGATGTGCAACTTGCGCATGGACATCATGTATGCCGTGAAAGAGTTGTCGCGTGGACTTGCGTCTCCTACGACGGATCATTGGGCAAAGTTAAAGCACTTGCTTCGGTATCTTGCAGGTACCAAGGAGTATGTCCAAGAACTTCGCCCGAACATCCGGTTGTCTGAGAAGCATTCCTCTCTTGATGTTCACACTTACGTTGATTCTGACTGGGCTGGTGATCCTGATACACGGCGTTCCACTTCCGGAGTTGCGACTTACCTGCTTGGCGTTAACTTGCAGTCGCTCCCCTGGACGCAGCAAACGATTGCACTCTCCTCTGGAGAGGCTGAACTTTACGCAATCGGCGGTGGAGCTGCGGACGCGCTGTTTCTCAGATCACTTCTCTTGGAATCTCGCTTGATCCCAAAGGTGCACTTGTTCTTGCATACCGATAGCACGGCTGGTAAGTCGATGGCATCGCGCTATGGCACTTCGCGTAAAACGCGTCACGTTCAGTTAAGATACTTGTACGTTCAAGAGCTTGTAACTTCAGGTATGGTCATCATCCGCAAAGTACTTGGTACCCTGAACAGTGCTGATGTACTTACGAAGTACGTGTCTAAAGAAACTTTGGCAAGGCATGTGGGCACTTTGGGCTTGAGGCCCAGAGACGCCATGTAGGAGTAACCTACTTGTGCGTTTCACCCAGGCTAAAAGGAGAAAGACAAGAGAGAGAGTAAACTTGCGAGAGCGACAAATCCGAAAAAAAAAAACCTTTCTAACTTTCTCCTTCCACTCTCCATACCCTGAAAAAAAAAACTTTCCTTTACCCTGAAGAAACATTTAGGGCTAATTCGTTTCAGTGGAGGTCACTTGCCAGTGTTGTGATGTTGCGCTTGACATGTCGGGAGCTGCGAGTTCAACTTAAGCTTTTGCCGCATCTGGCTCTCCCCAACCTATCTTAAACTCTAAACCTTTTCCCTTAGTAGACTTGTTGCAATGGAACAAGAGCCGCAGCTCACTTGCGGGGAAATTCGAGTACTTCGCAGGGCTTTGCGAGTCGTGTGGTTGTACTTGGCCTTGCGCTTTGTCCAGGGCACAACTTGGTGGTCTGGAACAGTGCTTACTTTGGTTGATTTGCCGCAGTCACTTCGCGCAGAAAGGCTGCGCAGAATTGGTGGTTGGTCCAACCTACTTTTCCAGCTGGTGAGACTTTGCTTGGCCTACGCGATTTGGCCACTTCACCGAATCCTCCGTGACTTGCGTGAAGAATAGAGTGGTGCAGTACTTTTGGTAGCCGGAGAGAATGCCGCCGAAGGCGATTGAAGAGGCGCAGCGTTGGACTTTGGAGATGCATCAGCGAGCCTTTGTCCAGGACACTTACGCCTCATTTTCGACTTTCTCCAACTTTTGGCGACATGAGGTCTTTATGTCGATACTTTTCAGTGGATTGCAGAAGGAGAGACTTACAATTCGGCAACTTCTGTTGATTCCACGAGATCCGAGAACCAACTTTCTGTTGGTGGTGCCGCTCTTGTTCGTGCTTTTTCCGGGACTTTATCATCCTGGTTCAAGGCAGTACCCAGGACTTTATCACTCAGTCCATGGGCCTCCTTTGTACTTTACCTTCGAGCTGCAATGGATTACTTCATTGGCAATCGAGATGCTGGGAGTCCACTTGTTTTCTCCTCAAGAAATTAACTTCATGCCGTGGACGTGTTACATTGTGTTGCCGCGGTCGACTTGGGCAAGGCTTATGCAGCGACTTGTGACACAAAGGGTGCTTGTCATTACCCCAGCCGACTTGGTTTGGACTTCTGGGATGTTGAATGTAGGGTTCTCCCTACGATCAACTTTACTATTCACCATATTTAACTTTCAGTTTCATCCTGGGAGAGCAGAGTATCAAGAATCATTCGTTGCACTTGGCTTCAGTATCTCTGGTCAAACTTTCGGTGCAATGATGTCTTCTGGAGGCAACATATGGAACAGACGATACCGAGATTACTTCATCAAGCTGCCACTTCTGCAACTTTTCCACCCGGCGGAGATCGCTACCCTGGTGTCGTTTACTTGCACAAACCAGGCACTTACTTTTGCAAGACTTGGGGAAATGTACCACAACTTTATCCAGGCGGAAACCCATTTGTGGTTGGGCCACATTCCACTTCACAAAGCGTGGCTGCGACCTGGAGAAGCTGAACTTGGTGACGACGAGACGGTTGATCCTCACTTGGTTCGGAGGATGATGCAGTATGACCTGCATCGGCCCAAGTTTTGATGGGCACTTTGTCCGCCAAGACCTCTTTGTCTTCGACTTCCCATTTGCATGTCTCACCATGCGGCAGTAACTTTTCTGTCTTTGGTTAGTAAAACTTTCGAGCATGCAGTGATGCGCCGAAATCCCCACTTTAAGGCTGCACTTGCATTGCATCTTTGAGGATGATTAGGTCCTACTTTTGCTTTGCGAACTTTTGGGATAAATAGGTCCCCGTTTTGCCGGAAACTTTCAATTAGTGCCGAAGAGCACTTAGTTGCAGCGAGCCGTTCCTTTGTGAACTTTTGGCAGTTCTTCACATCACACTTGAAGCTTGAAGATAGGAGAGCTCGTGTGAAAAAGACTTTGGTCAGTGTGCATAGTGTGGACTTCGTTTGGGAACTTTGGTTTCGTTGTGTTCTTGGGGTTCTTAGGAATTCCCAAACTTTGTCCAAGGGGGTGTGAGAAAATACACACTTCCCGAGTCCTCCAGACTTGATGTGCAGACAGCATGACCAACTTCGGTTGGCTCAAGGATCAAGACTTGATGCCTGTGCGAAAACATACTTGCAGCTTCGGATATCTCACTTGTGTTGTTGAGCTCAGTGACCTCAGTTACTTTTTCACTTTCTTTCTCTTTCTTTTTCGGAGCGGGGGTGTGTCCAATGTTTCAAGGCTTTGAGGGTTTAGGGATGCTCCTTTGGAGGGATTTAGGGTTTCGGGTTTAGGGGTTTAGGGGGTAGCTGTATGGGGGCTTGTATGTGTCTTTGTCATAGTATAGTAAGGGGATGTTTCGACACATTCATTGGTTTAAATTACGAGGCTAATCAACCTTTAAACCCGAACTTAGACCCCAAGCCCTTGACCCTAAGCACAAGCTTGAACCCTACACCCTAAACCCTAGACCCGAAGCCCTAACAGGGTGCTAGGGTGGGCAGGGACCCCTGCACCATCTGAGCCCTAGACCTGTAGTCTTGGATTTGTCGGTTCAATACACGGACACTGACGGACAGATCCAAGTTCAGTATTTCAAGCTCAGGGCACTGAGGCTAACCTAAACCGTAAATCCTGGAATTTTAGGCATTGGCACACTGACCCTAAACCCTGAACCCTGAAGCCTGAAGCCTGAACCCTAAACCCTAAACCCTAAACCCTAAACCCGAAATAGCTGGTCCAGGAGACGCCACCTCGGCTCAAGATTCTTCTTCTTTCGCAGCAGAGTCAGGGCTTTCAGGGGCCTGTAAGGATTGTAGGGTTGAGGGTTTCGGGTTTAGGGTTTAGGGTTAGGGTTTAGAGTTTAGGGTTGAGGGTTTAGGGTTTAGGGTTTCGGGTTTAGGGTGTAGGGTTTGGGGGTTCAGGCGCAGTGTTGCACGCCGAAGCCAGCAAATTGTTAGCCCAAGGCCATACTTGCTAGCTTTTTGCCGTGAGCTGTGGCTTTAGGCTTGTATTTGATCTTTACGGCTTAGAATCCTAAACCCTAAACCCTAAACCCTAAACCCTAAACCCTAAACCCTAAACCCTTAAGGTTGCTCTTAGGATTGCTCAGCTGCATCGGAGCACCAGCAACCCCCCAAAACTCGCGAACATTTCAGCCGGAGACCCTGCGCCGCGCCCGGCGTCCCCCGAGCCGACCATGTCCCAGGCGCATGAAGCCATGAACCCGAAATAAGGGGGGTTTAGGGTTTGGGGGTTTGGGTTTAGGGTTTAGGGTTTAGGGTTTAGGACGGTTTAGGGTTTAGGGTTTAATTACAATTTGCATTCTTCCTGCTGAATTCCCAGATACTTTCGCTAATTCACAGTAGAGCTGTCACCAAGAAATACGCGGAGCGACCCAGACTCACGGACCAAGGAGCACCTTTTGTGCCCTTTCTTGGTTCTACTTGGATGGATGTTCGTGGTACTTAGAAACCCAAATACATGTGCACTTATAACCCAATTACAACCCCATTAGGGTACTTAAGGTGCTTATAAGTGGGTTATAGCTACACTGAGAATTGGGTTACTAAGTGCCCTGAAGCTTCAGGTTCCCTTATAAAGGCACCAACCCCAGAAAGGGTACCCTTTATTTATAAGATGGCTCCTGGGCACAAAAAGGCTTTAACCAGCTGTAACTCCAATTTCATTTGTTTCCTTGCAAATTCCCACCCCCCCCCCAAAAAAAAAAAAGAAACAAAAAAAAAGTCCCTACTTGCCAAACTCCACAACCTTAAACCCCAAACCTTTCGGTTTTTCGGTAGCTACTTCGAGAAGCAGTACTTCAAGTGGACCCCTTCGCTTGGCCCTAACCTCTAAGCCCTAGGTATGGTTGCCTGTCTGTGTGATTGCGTGAAGGTCTGTAGGCTTTGGGGTTTAAGGTTTAGGGTTGAAGCTATAATTTAGGGGCACACAGGCGAGCGGACATTGAACCCTCAGCACTGAGACTGAACCCCCAAGAACGCCGATAAGCCCGACAACCCTAAACCCTAACCCCAATGACCTGAATATCCTCGACAACCCTAGACCGTAGACCCTAGACCCTAAACCCTACACACTGAACCTTATAAACCCTAAACCCCAAACCCTAAACACTAAACCCTATACTCAACGGTGGATGGCCGAGACTGTTCCTAGGATAAAATTCTCTGGGCCGTCATGTTGAAGTGGGGTTTAGGGTTTAGGGTTTAGGGTTTAAAGTTTGTAGGGTTTTTAGCGTGGGGGGTTTAGGGTTTACGGTTGGGGGTTTAGGGGTGAGGGTTGGGGGACTAAGGTTTGGGGTTGGGCTTTTGGATTTAACGAATGGGCCCTTTTGGGAGTGTGCATTATCGTGTACCCCGAATAGTTCAGGTAAACCCTAAACCCTAAACCGGGGATGTGCGGTTGACACCCCAAGATCAGGATCGGGTCCAGGAGGTCCAGGAATGATAGGGTTTGGGGTTTGGGGTTTGGGGTTTAGGGTTTAGGGTTTAGGGTTTAGGGTTTAGGGTTTAGGGTTTAGGGTTTAGGGTTTAGGGTTTAGGGTTTGGAGTATCAACAAACCATGACAGCTTCCGACCTCCCTTTTTCAGCTTGCCGGAAGGTGTGCTGGTTCAAGTTCTCGCTGCGCCCTCGGCGCAGTACCGAAGCCAGCTTTCGGCTGCGGGCTTTAGGGCTTCAGGGCTTGGGGTTTAGGGTTTAGGGTTTAGGGTTTGGGGTTTAGGGTTTCGGGTTTCGGGTTTAGGGTTTAGGGTTTAGGGTTTAGGGTTTAGGGTTTAGGGTGGGCTTTCAATGGCGCGAACCCTTCACAGAACACCCGAATATTGAATCTTCACATAACCCGCAAACAGCCCACCATAAGAAGCAAGTTCCACTCAAAGCTCCTCCCGCTCGATTTTTTAAGCCTTGGCCTCCAACAGGGTTTAGGGTTTAGGGGTTTAGGGTTCAGGGTAGGGCAAACCCTAACCAACCCCCCCCCCCCACCCACAGTAGTAGATTTTGGAGTCCTCGTGCGTGGCATGCTTTTTTGGTGAAGCCACCAAGACGGCACCGACAAAAAACATGGCAGGCGCAACGGGCTTTAGTCGTTGCGAGTAGAGTTCAGTGTTTCGGGTTCAGGGTTTGGGGTTTAGGACAATACTGACAGACACACACACACACACACAAGCGCTGACGCGCGCACGCACTACTACCCCCCTAATGGTGACAGGGTTTAGGGTCAATCTTCGGAGTGTTGGAGCCTGAGCGAAACCCACCGAACTCAGGTACATGGACTCTTAGGGTAAACCTCCCCAAGACCTAACCCTAAACCTAAACCCTAAACCCTAAACCCCCCCAAGAGCCCCCAAGAAGCCCCACCGCCCAGGGCAGGGGCGGGGTCCCATCTTCTCCGCGTGCGACACCCGGGCACCACAGAGCAGGAGGCACTGCCAGAGGGCCCCAAACGAAAACCCTAAACCCTATAAGGTTTAGGGTTTAGGGTTTAGGGTTTAGGGTTCAGGGTTCAGGGCTTAGGGCTTAGGGTTCAGGGTTTAGGGTTTAGGGTTTAGGGTTCAGGGTTTAGGGTTTGGTAAACCCTACGCAGCTCATGATTTGGAGACCTCAGGGTGACGTGTGGGTGAAAGCCCCCCCCCCAAACCCTAAACCCTAAACCCGAAACCTTCAGGCCAAAATCCTAAAACGCACAAACCCTGAACGCCCCTTGAACCCGAAACCCTTCTTCCCCTATCCAAAAAAGCACACAAACCCTGAACACCCCCTGAAGCCCTAAACCCTAAACCCTAAACCCTACACCCTAAATCCTAAATCCCAAACCCTAAACCCTAAACCCCTCCGCCCGCGGGCAGGTCCAGCTCGATGGGGCTCTCCTCGAGGCGGGGGGTTAGGGCTCTGGGGGTTTGGGGTTTAGGGTTTAGGGTTTAGGGTTCAGGGTTTAGGGTTTGGGGTTTAGGGTTTAGGGCTGCCTTAAAGTCATGTTCGGGGTGAGGGTTTAGGGGTTGAGGGTTCAGGAACCCGTTCTAAACCCCTCTTAGCCCCTCCCCCTCTAAACCCCCAAACCCCAAAACCCAATTAGCCTTCCCTCCTCCCCCACAAAAAAATGTGTATATATATACTTATTTATATTTATATTTATATTTATATTTATATTTATATTTATATTCTTATTATTATATATATATATATAAATTTACTTCTTTTTTATTTGTATATCCCGAAACCTCGAACTGCAGAGGCACCTCCAGGCACCACCTGCTTCACGGGGCCCGCAGCGACGCTGCTTGAGCTCCAGGTCGCTTTGCTTCTAGGGTTTGGGGTTTAGGGTTTAGGGTTTAGGGTTTAGGGTTATAGTTTATAGTTTATAGGGTTTAGGGTGTAGGGTTTAGGGTTTAGGGTTTATAGTTTATAGTTTCTAGGGTTTAGGGTTTAGGGTTTAGGGTTTAGGGTTTAGGGAGGGTTCAGGGTTTGAGGTTTTCGGGTTTTGAGCTTAGGGTTTGAGTTTTTCCGGTTCAGAGTTTCGGTTTAAAGTTTAGGGTTCCGGCCGAACCCTGAATGGAAAAGAGTCCAGTGTTAGG